CTTGTTGCTGAGTCTGAGTCTGTCTGTCCTCCGTCCGTCGGGGGTGAGTGTGCTCTTGGCACGGACGTCCTTGAGGACAGACAGGAGGAGTTTGAGTGCTTTGCTGCTGCTTTACCTCATCTCGTGTCCATGCTGATTGCCCCTGAGGGAGACCCGGATGCACCAGACATCCCGACCCCACGCTCCTACGCAGAGGCGATGGAGGGTCTCTACTCCTCTCAGTGGCAGACAGCCATGGACGCAGAGATGGCTTCCTGGAAGTCCACAGGCACCTACGTCGACGAGGTTCCCCCACCTGGGGCGAACATCGTCAGTGGCATGTGGATTTTCAGGGTGAAGCGGCCGCCGGGTTCTCCGCCTGTCTTCAAGGCGCGTTACGTTGCACGAGGCTTCAGTCAGCGAGAGCAAGTTGACTTCTTTCAGACCTTCTCCCCGACCCCGAAGATGACCATTCTTCGGGTTCTGCTGCACGTCGCTGCTCAGCGTGACTACGAGCTCCACTGCCTTGACTTCAGCACTGCGTTCCTACAGGGCACCCTGCACGAGGAGATCTGGCTGCGCCGCCCACCTGGCTTCACTGGGTCGTTCCCTCCTGGTACCCAGTGGAGCCTCCGGCGGCCAGTCTACGGTCTCCGCCAGGCACCCCGTGAGTGGCACGACACACTGAGGACTACTCTTGCTGCTCTTGGGTTTGCTCCTTCTACTGCTGACCCGTCGCTGTTCCTACGCACCGACACCACTCTGCCGCCGTTCTACGTTCTCGTGTACGTAGACGACTTGGTCTTTGCCACTGCTGACACTGAGGCACTCGCCCACGTGAAGTCGGAGCTGCAGAAGAGACACACGTGCACAGACCTGGGTGAGCTGACAAGCTATCTTGGCTTGCGGATCACCCGGGACAGAGCACAGCGCACCATCACCTTGACTCAGTCACACATGGTGCAGCAGGTCCTTCAGCGCTTCCGCTTCACGTACTCCTCGCCTCAGCCCACTCCTCTGCCTACCGGTCACTCGCTCTCAGCTCTGCCTTCGGATGAGTCCGTAGAGCCGAGTGGCCCGTATCCAGAGCTTGTGGGCTGCCTCATGTACCTGATGACCTGCACTCGACCTGACCTAGCCTACCCTCTTAGCATCCTAGCACGCTATGTCGCTCCTGGCCGTCACCGGAAGGAGCACATGGATGCAGCTAAGAGGGTGTTGCGCTACTTGTGCAGTACGTCGGGCATGGGGCTTGTGCTTGGAGGACGGCGCGACGTTGTCCTTACTGGACACTCAGACGCTTCTTGGGCTGACGACCAGGCTACTCAGCGGTCGTCTCAGGGTTACTCCTTCAGCCTTGGCTCTGGCTCAGTTTCTTGGCGTTCTACACGCTCCTCCTCTGTTCTCAGCTCCAGTTGTGAGGCTGAGATCTACGCCACAGCCATGGCTGCCCAGGAGCTACGCTGGCTCACCTACCTGCTGACCGACCTGGGAGAGCGGCCTCGTTCTCCTCCAGTGCTGTACGTCGACAACAAGGCAGCCATTGCCTTGTGTCAGGAGCACAGGCTGGAGCACAGAACGAAGCACATCGCTCTGCGCTACTTCCTTGCTCGAGAGCTACAGCAGCGTGGTCAGCTTCGTCTCTCGTACGTGGCCACTCGGGCCAACACTGCTGACGTATTCACCAAGGCTCTTCAGCCTTGTGACCATCAGCGTTTCTGTACTGTTCTAGGCCTTGTGCCTACTCTCCCTCACTTGCTCACTTCTTGACTCTGCTTGTACTGTGATCTCTATATATATACCTGCATGCTTTCACTTGCTAGGTTGTGATCACTGTACCTCTTGTTATATTATCAAACTGCATGTGAACTGGTCTTGTGACCGCTTACTTGTGCTCGGAATTTGTGTGGTATCCTTGAGATCCACCCTGAGCTTGTTTTGCTTTGCTTTGACTGGTCCTGTGACCCCTTGTTCTCCCCCACTTAGCCTATGGGGGTGTGTCAAACATTGTATGTGTTATACTTGTGTAGGCTATTGTGGGTTAGCCTCTAGGGGGTACAGAACTTTAGGTTTGTCATACTTGTACTCTCATTCTGTTGCTAGTCAATCATTCCTGTTTCTTTCATTCTGACATAGCCAATATGGGGTACAGCCCCTTTTAGGGTTTCATACTTGTACCCATCTCTTCCATAGTGCATTCATTCCTGCTGCTAGATTCTAACAGTTCGCCCCGTCTGTGGAGATCCCTGAGATCTTCTGCAGGTCAACGCCGATCCCTGTGAGGTACTGCACAACGGCAGAGGTCAGCGATGCAGCGTCAGCACGGTCCACTGTGATAAGTGTGAGAAACTCGGTTACCACTGAGTTGCCTCTGAAGAACGTTGCGTATAATATCAGGTGCTTCCCGTGCACCCGGTCCGTGCTTTCGTCCAGTGAAATCCCAAGCCAAGGGGATTCCAGCAGGTGGCCGCGCCGTGTCTCTTGTAGGTACGTTGACTTGGCGCGCAGCTTTTCCTTGAATCCGTAACTGCCAGGGACAGAACACGGGAAACAATATTAAAGATTTGAAACGGGAGAGAACTAGGAACGAGGGCACATGTACGTCTACCACCGCCCACACTTACTCAGTATAGTAGGTACCGTAACCTCCAGACGGAGGTAAATCGGGCAACCCTTCCTTCGCCAAAAACCAGCACAAAGGTACGAACATGGCGATCGGCGCGTCTGCCCTGCAAACGAAGAGCGCGATGTGGAGGCACCGTATGATGTGCTTCTGTAGACGCATCGGTCGTCTGCCACCGAGTGAGGGTGGCTTGCTTCGCCTTCTCCGCTTCAGATTTTGCCTCATTCTCTACTGCGCACTTGTGGGCTCGGCTTGATGTATGACTGCGGATGCTGCCTAACTGCAAATCTCGTGCACCCCCACCTCTGACCCCGTACGCAGTGTGAGCTGCGGAATCTCCGTGCTTAACACATATTGCACATTTCAGTGACGGCCTTCCATTACTCATACGATTTAAGCGGAGCCAGCTGAATTTACCTGCCCACTGAGAATTGAACGTGGCCTTTACCGCTTCGTACTCAGCTTCTGCAGTCGCGGTTGGCGGCTTGGGGTCGGCAGTAGCAGTTGCACGTTTTGGTGAATCCGCCTGTCGGGGAGGTGGTGCGCCCCAGAGCCTCTGCTGCTTGTACGTCGCGCCCACTCGCTGACGTTTGACGGGCGCGCTGCTAATAGTAGACGGTGTCGCGAACGGCGATTTCGACGAGCCCTCACCACCTCCGGGAACGAGATGAAGATAAGGGTGAGGCTCCCATGCCTTCGGTGAGTTTGTAGGCTCGAAGGGATAGACGGTGCCGACGAGACATTCAGGAGATGCCTCACGCGGAGGCTGCGAGATGGGAACACTGAAGTTTTCACGCAAGCGAGGTAAGACTCCAAGAACGGAGAGGCCATTCCTGGTGGTTCCAGGCAGATCTGGCTCTCCCGCAGGCATGGTTGAGCGTCGAACGAGAAAAAAATGAGACAATGGGAAGAACAGCAGGGACCCCTTGGGAAGCACAAAGCACAACAAACTCCCAGATGGGAGGTACCCGCGCACCGCGGGAACTGCATGGCTGTTGCTGCAGCCTACCTCGACTGCCATGTGCTGCAAAGGACCACACGAAACACACTTGGCGCGCAAACTGACACCGCTGGCAGTGGCCGTGGCTGGATGTGGCATGATTTACGGTTGCGTTGGCGCAATTGTGGCTCATTGGACTAATCGGACGAGCAGGCGTGCCTCCGACAAAATTCGACGGTGGTGCGCCTGTGGTCAGTAAAGACAAGTGTGGCAGTGGCCTTGTGGTGAGATCTGTCGTAACGTGGTGTGTGGCTCGATTCGCGATAAAAAGAGATTCGGTATCAGGGTAAGTGGAAGTGTACCATGATCCTGCCAGGGTAAAAAAAAAACGTACCTGTGTAGTTGAAATCAAAGACTTTTCACGCCAGGGTAAAAATTCCCATAGGCTGATTTGGCAAGGGTAACTGGGAAAAAGCGGCCTATGATCAGGGCAAAAAGGGTAAAATACCCTTGAAAAATAGCCCCTGGCTACTTACATGATGAGTGGTAATGCACTCATGTGCGGTAGGAATGTGCTTTAAGGTTGAAATGTGATGCTGTAAACCACCACCAATGGTCGGTTGGCAGTGCAGAAGATGATCCAAGCAGGTAATTCTCTCATGGGATGCATTATTCTCTAAATGCATATCCGTTCACCTTCCATTGCAAACTACAGAATCTTAGCGCACAGAATCACAGAACTGTACTGCATCACACCCTGACTCCTGAGCACCCCACTCAACGCACTCGTCTGTTTATTGACTCGTCTTATCTCGCGTTTACATCGCCCCACCCCCCTCCACAAGCAGATGTGCCCCTTTTCTGTCCGTCGACGTGTCGTTGAAATATCGCCACGTCAAGTCTGGATCTGGAAAACAGGCACTACCGTACACGACGATATAGGAGGTCGCCCGTCTTGAACGGTTCGCTGTAGCTCCCCCCCATGACCACACATCTCTGTTGTGTTACGTCCGTACTAACGACAGGCTGAATTGCCCCTCGTCGTCGCGTCGTCCACCTCGGGCCTCGCTTCTCCGCGTGCTCTGCTCATCTTTCTTCTCCCCCCCGGACCAGACCAGATTTAACCGTCCCCTTTCTCGCTCTCCTCTCTCTTGCTCGCTCTCTCTCGCTCCCTCGCTCCTCCATACATCAGAAAAGTACCGTTCCGCGCTTCTTTAGAGTTGAATATCGGTTTGTGATGGGAATGCGAGTTTAGATTTGCGACACACAGCAACCTTCATCACCGTACGATGGCCGGTGCTTCTGGATCTGACGGTTCCGAGCAGCCCTCACTGGCCGCCGCATCGGGCGCGGGAGGCGACTCAAAGCCGGAATCCGCAAAGGCAGGCGGCGCGAAGCAGCTGACCCCGCAGGAGCGCGCGCGACTCGCGGCGGCGCGGCGACGTGCGCGGGGGAGCAATGCGAGGCCGGGAAGTGCGGGGAAAGGCAAGCAGGGAGGTGAGAACTCGCTGGAAGAATGCTTTCGACACGATTCAAAAGGAATGCTTGAGAAGACTGGAAGAACCTCAAGAAAGGGTTCTAATGTGGCTGGAGTACTGTAAGAGAATAAGAGTATACTCATTGAGAAGGGTTCTAATGTGCTCTAAGGGTACTCCTTTTCCGCCCAACCCGCCAAGTCCCTTTCGCCCAACCCGCCGCGGCTCCTTCTTCCCTCGCTCGCTTCCCTCGCCGAAGCGCTTCCTCTCGCCACATTGCGTTTTCCACACCCTGCCGCGTCGCGTCTGTCACGTTACCCCCGTTCCGACAGCTGTCGCGACGCCACTCCACCATTCCATAGTGCCTCTTATAATCTCCATCCGGACCGTCTTTATCGTCCGCGCAGTTCCATCCGTCTCTCTTTCAACCCTCACCCTCCCTTTCTGCCTTTCTCACTCTCCTTTTCTCTCTCCCTTTCTCGCTCTCCCTTTCTCTCTCCCCTTCTCACCCTCCCTTTCTCACTCTCTCTCCCCCCATCCCTCTTGTCCCTCCACCAGTCGCCACGTCACTCTATATCTCCGTGGTGGCTCTTATAATCGCCATCTGGGCCGTCTTTATTTTCCGCGCCATTCAAGCCCCGCCGCCGATCCCGCTCACTGACGCTGACGTCACCAGCCCGCGCGTCCGGCTCTCGGACGGCCGCCACGTGGCGTACCACGAGATGGGCGCGGCTGCTGACGTGGCCAAGTACCAGGTGCTGGTGGTGCACGCGTGGCAGACGTGCCGACTCAGCATGCTGCCCAACATCACGCAGGTGCGATGACGTGTCCTGTTCCTGTGTCGTTATGTGACGTGTCCTCAGTCTCTTTGGTGACGTGTCAAGTACGACAGGGCTGGGTGCGGTTACACCCCTCTCCACCCCTCTCCATCCCTCTCCACCCACCACAGGAGTTCTTGGAAGCCAACGGCATTCGTCTGGTGAGCTACGACCGCGCGGGTTATGGCCAGAGCGACCCCAACCCGGGGCGCACGCTGCATTCTGACGTTCAGGACGCGGGGGAGGTGGCGACGGCAGTGGGGCTGGGGGAGAAGTTCTACCTCGTCGCCACGTCCATGGGGACGTATGTGGCTCTCGGGGCGCTCCGATACATCCCGCAGCGGTGAGAGAGGGGTGGGGATGAGCTACCTGACCCACTGGTGAGGCGGAGGGGCGAGGTGGCCACGGCCGTGGGGCTGGGGGAGGAAGTTCTATCTCGTGGCCGCGTCCATGGGGACTTACGTGGCGCTCGGCGCGCTGCGATACATCCCCCACCGGTGAGTGCAGGGTGGGCGTGAGCGCATGTGCAGCAGTGGGGTGGGGGGGAGGGGAGGTGGCCACAGCGGTAGGGCTGGCTGGGGGAGGAAGTTCTATCTCGTGGCCGCGCCCATGGGGACGTATGTGGCTCTGGGGGCTCTCCGGTACCTGCCTGCCACACCGGTGAGAGAGGGGTGGGGATGAGCCATGTGGGCCATCGGGGTTATGGTTTAGGGAGTGTGCCTCATGGCATGTGGGATATGGATGATTGGGGTTTAAGGTTTAGGGAGTGTGCCTCACGGTTGTCCCACAAAGTTTCAAGTTCCTAAGGATTTTGAACCCCTCCCTTCAAATGTATACTGGAGCTTTAAGGTGACCACACTCAGGCTCATCTCATCTCACCTCATCTCGTCTCATCTCGTCTCATCTCATGTCAAACCCTCGTTCCTCCCCGCCCTTACTTCCTCTTCCCACTTTCAGCCTCAAGGGTCTGACGGTAATCAGCGTGGTGGGGAACCCAGACCCCACTTGGCCCAAGCACGAGTTCAACTCAACACACCCTCTGCTTCTCTCCACTCCTCCTTCTTTCGTCGTTCCCTTTCCCTTCTCACTGCCAGCCTCAAGGGTCTGACGGTAATCAGCGTGGTGGGGTACCCTTGGGACCCCACTTGGCCCAAGCACGAGTTCAACTCAACACACCCTCTGCTTCTCTCCACTCCTCCTTCTTTCGTCGTTCCCTTTCCCTTCTCACTGCCAGCCTCAAGGGTCTGACGGTAATCAGCGTGGTGGGCAACCCTTGGGACCCCACGTGGCCCAAGTACGAGTTCACAGCCACGTGGCAGCAGATGCCAGTGCAGGATCGCATCACGCTGCTGCTGGCCCGCCACGTGCCCTCCCTGCTGCACGCCTGGTTCTCCCAGACGCTGGTGCCGCTCGGAAACTTCCGGGAACCCTTCCATCCGCACCCGGTTGACCTGTATGAGTCGGATATGGCTGCCCTGGCCAGCACTGAGGTGTTTGGTTACTTTGCAAGGGTGAGTGTGGGGAGAGTAAGAGAATGCGAGCGTGCGAGTGTGCGAGTGTGAGTGCCCTCACTTCCAAAACCCCTTCCATCTGCACCCGGTTGACCTCGATGAGTCGGACATGGCTGCCCTGGCCAGCACTGAGGTGTTTGGGTACTTTGCACGGGTGAGTGTGGGGAGAGTAAGAGAATGCGAGTGTGCGAGTGTGTGTGCCCTCACTTTCATAACCCCTTCCATCCGCACCCGGTTGACCTGTATGAGACGGACATGGCTGCCCTGGCCAGCACTGAGGTGTTTGGGTACTTTGCACGGGTGAGTGTGTGTGTGCGTGCGTGTGGGCAGTACGTGCATGTGTGTGTACGCATTGTGTCCATGTGTATGAGTGAGTGCCCATCCGCACCCGGTGGATTTATATGAGACGGACATGGCTGCCCTGGCCAGCACTGAGGAGTTTGGGTACTTTGCTCGGGTGAGTGTGCGCACTCTGCGCATGTGTATGTCGTGGCAACGGGATTTTTGAGATCCTTGCTGCTGACTGGGGCTTTAAGCTCTCTGAGATCGATCCCTCCACCGGCTTCCCGCTCCCCCCTCCCCCCCCTCCATCATGCCTTTACAGAACATGCAGGAAGGAGCGAGGCAAGGGGCCGGCGTGTCATGGCACCGGGATTTTGAGATCCTCGCCTCTGACTGGGGCTTTAAGCTCTCCGAGATCGACCTCTCTCAGACAGGGGGCAAGGAGGGAGCGGGGGAGGAGGGGGGAGAAGGCGGAGGAGGCAAAGGGGGAGAGGAGGGGGGGTTGAAGGGCAAGGTGCACATATGGCATGGGGAGGAGGGGGGGTTGAAGGGCAAGGTGCACATATGGCATGGAGAGGAAGACTGGGGGACACGGGTGAGCTATGCGCGGCATGTGGGGAGGATGGTGGAGGGGACCGTGATGCATGTGGTACCCAAGAGGGGCCATTTCTTCATGTACAACGATGCTCACATGCCCCCCACTGTGCTGCTCACCATGCTGGGATTGGAAGGGAAGGTGAAGGCGGAGGACGTGGGAGTCAGTGAGGGTGTGACCGAGGGGATGAGTGAGGGAGTGAGTGAGGATTTGAAAACTGAAGAGTGAGGTGGGATGGGAAGGATGGTGGAGGGCAGTGTGATGCATGTGGTGCCCAAGAGGGGCCATTTCTTCATGTACAACGATGCTCACACGCCCCCCACTGTGCTGCTCACGATGCTCGGGCTGCAGGAGGATGTGGGAGTGAGCGAGGGAGTGAGTGAGGGAGTGAGTGAGGCAGCGAGTGAGGGAGTGACTGAGGGCGTCAGTGAGGAGTTGAAAAGTGAAGAGTGAGGCATGGGAGTGAGTGGAGCGGCTTGAGATTTCCAGCAGATACGCATATCCTCATGTACAATGAGCGTATTCTGGGAATCTCATACAGCGGATTGCTTGCCTAGTCTGGGATGCCATACCGTAGCGTTTGATGCTTGAGGCTCGGCTCGAATGCTTTGAGAATGGTTCCGGCTGGGATGCCCTTACTTGGGTTGTCCCAGTCTGAGAAAGCTCACACATGTATCCTCCTGTGAGCAGTTATCTGCTCCTTAGTAGCTCACAGCTTATATATTGGCTTATTTATATTTTACTGCTCACAGCTTAGATGCAAGAGTTTCTGGGTTTCCCCAGCAAAGGATGGTTGTAGGCTGACTGCTTGCCCAACCCCGCACACCTGCTAGGCAGCACAGCCAGTGTTCCACCATAGAGTCATACAAGATACACTTTTATGTAGCACTTGCTAACTGTAGTCACCTGTTACAATGTAAGCACTACTGTGCAATACTTGTTGCTATGTAACACAGAGGTCACCCATCTTAACCCATTTGTATGCTGAGCTGTCACACATCCGCTCCACCACCCCATGGGCTGCATCCAAAGCCCTCCTGATTGGCTGAAGCTTGCGCTCTGCTGCTGCTAACTGCGCCGGGTCCCTCACCTGGTGAAAAATAAAGCACGGGGAAGATGGAGCATGGGATGCAGTGGCGGTGAGGGAATATGAGGCGGTGAGTGCGAGGAAACAATATAAAGAGGAGATGGTGAGGGAGGTGGAGGAGGAGAAGAGGAGCCACCAAGGAGAGTCCATTGCTCACAAAGCCAGGGCCTGACCCAATCACCCTGGGTCTTCCCAGCCCTGCCAGGCAAGAACCAAGAAGATTCCAGGCAAGTGCAGCCTACCTTGGCCAGAGTGCGTGTGACTGCAAGGGAGTGGCGGAGATGGCAGAGGCGGTGGTAGAGGTCTTTGGAGGCTCCTCAAAACAGGAAAGTGAGGCAAGTGGAGCCTACCTTGGCCAGAGTGTGTGTGACTGCAAGGGAGTGGCGGAGGTAGCAGAGGCGGTGGTAGAGGTCCGCCTCGGATATCTGGGTAAAGGGGAGGGAGAAGGGGGAGAAGAGGAAGCGAGGAGAGGAGGGGGATGAGAAGAAATGATTACTGAACTGGTGATAGAGGTCCGCCTCGGATTTCTGGGTCGGAGGGACGGGGGCAGAAGAGGGTTGAGGGGATATGGAAGGGAGCAATGGGCAGATGGGAGAAGTTGTGCAAGGTAGCCCTGGTTGCAAGGTAGGCTAGTGGTCTCGTGGAAGTATCAGTGCCTTGTTGTGTGTGTGCGTACCTGGCGGCGCATGGTGCCTTGGCAGCGGGGGTAGTTGGGGCAGAGAGCCCCTCTGGAGCAGTCAGGGTGCACCAAGCGAGTGGCCATGTTCTGCGACACACACATGCATATGCATGCGCCTGTGCACATACCTGGCGGCGCATGGTGCCTTGGCAGCGGGGGTAGTTGGGGCAGAGCGTCCCTCAGGAGCAGTCAGGGTGCACCAAGCGAGTGGCCATGTTCTGCGGCACACACATGCATATGCATGCGCCTGTGCACATACCTGGCGGCGCATGGTGCCTTGGCAGCGGGGGTAGTTGGGGCAGAGCGTCCCTCTGGAGCTCTCAGAGTTCACCAGGCGAGTGGCCATGTTCTGCGACACACACCCACACGTCTCCTCGTCGCACTGGTGGGTGGGGAGAGCCGGGGGAGGGGAGAGGAGGGAACAGGAAATCAGTCACACACTCAGGCACACATTTGCAACTCTGGGCGTGCACAAAGTGAGTGAGGGCTGAGAGGAATCGAGAATACACGATCATTATATAACAGAAGGGACTGTCAGTGTAGCCTACCTGCATCCATGCGTCGTAATACTGCGATATGAATGCCTCCGCCTGCCTCTTAACCTGCCATAAATGCCAAGCCACAAAGGATGTATCAGTATATGACAGCTTGGAACACCATCGAAATGAAACAGAGCGCGCAGCACATCGCAGTTCAGGGAAAGGAAAGAGTTCAGGTTTGGGGTGTCGGGTGTTTGAACTATACGTGAGGCATAGGGTTCAGGGTTTACGAGCTTGAAGCTCATGAAGCTTTGAGTCGGTTTACAGGCATTGCAACACTTGACCTGTGTGACTGGCGCACCTGGTTGGAGAGCATGGCAGGCGACAGCGGCTTGGCGTCCTTGCAGCGCGGACACACCAGCGGCTGCACCTCCCTCTCCTCCTCTTTCCCCCCCTCTACCTCCTTCCCCTCCCCTCCACTTCCCTTCTCCTCCTCCCCTCTGCTCTCTCCTATCCCTTTTGCTCCACCTGCTCTCTCCCCAGCCCTCTCAAGCAGCTCCCGGTCCCTCCCGTGCGGGATGGCAGGCACGCCTGGGAAGGCGAAGGGGAAGCGGCACGAGGGGCAGAGGAACTGCAGCGGGGGGAGGCGCGCGTAGCTGGGCGGGGAAGGGAGGCAGGGGGAAGGGGTTGGGAGCGGGGATAGAGGGGAAGAGGGGAAAGAGAGGAGAAGTAATGGAACTGGAAGGCAAAGGGGAAGCGGCACGAGGGACAGAGGAACTGCAGCGGGGGGAGGTGCGAGTATCTGAGAAGGGCGAGATGGGGAGGAGGGTGAGAGCGGGGGAGGAGGGTGAGAGCGGGGGAGGAGGGTGAGAGAGGGGGAGGAGGGTGAGAGAAGGGGAGGAGGGTGAGAGCGGGGGAGGAGGGTGAGAGCAGGGGAGGAGGGTGAGAGCAGGGGAGGTAAGCGATGGATGGGAAGGGGACAATATTGGAGAATAGGGGACAATTAGGGAGGATTGTATCGTCCATTCTCATCAACCCCATCTCCCACCGTTCATCCTCATCAAACCCCATCTCTCACCGTCCATTATCATCAACCCCAACTCTCACCGAACATTCTCATCAAACCCCATCTCTCACCGTTCATCATCATCCAGAATGGAGGAGGCTGCCAGCATGGCATCATCTCGCACCGTTGATGCTGTTGCATGCACATGCCGATACTGCACACAAAAGACAAGGGTGGCAGGCAGGCAAGGGAGTTTACTTGAAACAGTTGAAACATGAGAAGGAGGAACAACACTGCACCCACTGCTTGCCTCTATCATGTCTAAACAACTGTGGTATTGCATTGTATGTATACAAGAAACCGCGAAAGGCCATACCTTGGAGGAGTCCAGCCCAAGGCAGTCGGCCAGCCTAGCAGCATCGGTGCCTTCGATAGGCGCACACAGCCTTGCCACCACGGGGTGCACCTGGTGCGCCAGGTAGTACTCTCTGTGCACGTCCCACTCGCTCCCTGTCTGTGCCTATGTGTTTCTCTCTGGAAGTGCCACTCTGGGTATGTCTGTCTGTATGTCTGTCTGTCTGTCTGTATGTGGCCATACCTTGGAGGAGTCCAGCCCCAGGCAGTCCGCCAGCCGAGCGGCGTCCGTGCCTTCGATAGGCGCACACAGCCGTGCCACCACGGGGTGCACCTGGTGAGCCAGGTAATACTCCCTGTCCACGTCCCACTCGCTCTCTGCACTTCTCAACTCGTCCACATGCCGTGCTCGCTCCGCTATGCCACCCGCACCGCTGCGACCAGCAGGTGGCACTGCTGCGTCTGCTCCCTCACTTCCTGATTGCTGCAGGCGGTGGGGGAAGAAGAGGGGAATGGAGGGGGGTGTTTTAAGGGCGGCAGCTGGTGTGCCAGGTAGTTACTCCCTATCCACGTCCTGACTTTTGAGTCGACTCAAAAGTTACTCCCTATCCACGTCCTGACTTTTGAGTCGACTCAAAAGTTACTCCCTATCCACGTCCTGACTTTTGAGTCGACTCAAAAGTTACTCCCTATCCACGTCCTGACTTTTGAGTCGACTCAAAAGTTACTCCCTATCCACGTCCTGACTTTTGAGTCGACTCAAAAGTTACTCCCTATCCACGTCCTGACTTTTGAGTCGACTCAAAAGTTACTCCCTATCCACGTCCTGACTTTTGAGTCGACTCAAAAGTTACTCCCTATCCACGTCCTGACTTTTGAGTCGACTCAAAAGTTACTCCCTGTCCACGTCCCACTCGCTCTCTGCGCTCCTCAACTCGTCCACATGCTGTGCTCTCTCCGCTATGCCGCCCTCACTGCTGCTGTTGCGGCCAGGTGCTGCTGCTGTTGACTCATCGCCTGACTGCTGCTGGTGCACACAGGGGGAAGAAGAGAGGAGGGAGGGGAAAATAGTTGAAGGGTTCACTCGCTCCTGAGCTCGTCCACGTGCCGTGCTCGCTCTGCTATGCCACCCGCACCGCTGCTGCTGCGACCGGCAGGTGGTACTGCTGTGCCTGCTCCCTCGCTGCCTGGTTGCTGCAGGCGAACACAAGCGTGGGGGGAGCAGAGGGGAATGGAGGGGGGGGTGTTTTAAGGGTGCACCTGGTGTGCCAGGTAGTATTTATTTCCTATCCACGTCCCACTCGCTCTCTGTTCTCTCCGCTATGCTGCCAGCGCTGCTGCTGCTGCTGCTGCGCCCACCAGGTCCTGACATGACCCTACTCAACCCACCTTCACCGCACTGAACCCACCACCAACTGCACTGAACATACCCTTGGCACAGCGATGACGTAGGGTATAGCATCCCCCGCATTGCACCCCTCCGTGCGCCCCTCCTTCCTCCGCAGTGCCACCTGCACGTGCGGCTGCGAGCTGGCGTCGGGGTAGTCGGAGGGCGGCTTGGTGAGTGTCTTGGTGATGACGAACGATGTCAGATCCACCTCCCCTGCTCTTAACCTGGCAGCCAACTGGTGTATGTGTGGGGGGGGGGTGGAGGAAGGGAGACAGGTTGTGAGCTGGCATCCGGGTAGTCGGAGGGCGGCTTGGTGAGCGCCTTGGTGATCACAAACGATGTCAGATCCACCTCCCCCGGTCGTAGCCTTGCTGCCAACTGGTGTGAGGAGAAGAATGAGAAGGGGGGGAAGAGGAGGGGGGAGAAGTGGGATATGGGGGTAACTCAACTCAGTGGACAGCTTGTGAGTGGGTGGCAAACTCGAACTGCTCATAACCGTGCTGTGAGAGTGAGAGAGTGAGTGAGCGAGCGTGGGCGTGAGTGAGTGAGTGAGCGAGCGTGGGCGTGAGTGAGTGAGTGAGTGAGTGAGCATGTGTGTGTGAATGCGTGACCCCAGTTTACACTCACGTTGCGCAGCTCATTGTGAATCGCCTCCACCACCTCCTCCCGCGGCCTGCACTCACACACGAGGGGAGAGGTGGGAAGAGGTGAGGTGAGGACGTGAGGAAAGGTGGGAATAGGTGAGAGGTGGACACGAATGCAAGGGAGGGGCGCTCCACATTGCACAGCTCGTGGTGAATTGCCTTCATTGTTACTCTTGTTCTTTCCGTGCTCCTAAAACAGAACACTCCAGTCCCTGCAACGTGCTCCACCACCTCCTCAAGCACCGAGGGGGCCGGTTGGAGGCGCAAAAAACCCACCCACAAACTAACACGCACACGGCTATCTGGTACAGGCACTACCCACCTGCCAGACAGAATTTGCTTCAAGCAGTAGGCACCGATCTCCTTGGACAGAACACTCCAGTCGCGCCGAACGATGTCCAGCCCCTTGTGCTCCGCCACCTCTCGCAGCACCTTGGGGGCCTCTTCAAGGAGGCGGACAAATCAGAACCTCTTGCAGGCTGGACGTACCTGCCAGAGAGGATCTGCTTGAGGCAGTAGGCGCCGATCTCCTTGGACAGAACACTCCAGTCCCTGCGAACGATGTCCAGCCCCTTGTGCTCTGCCACCTCCCCAAGCACCTTGGGGGGCTCGCCGGCTCCCAGTAGCAGTTTAATGGAGGCGTACTTCTTCTTGTTGAGCAGCAGCATGCTTCGGAATAGCCCGTCCATCTCGATCTCCAGGAGCTTATACCGCTTGTTGACCTGCCAGGGGACGGAGAGGGTGAGGGTGAGGAGGCAAAGGAAGGTGTGATCTCCAGCATCTTGTCGGGCTCTCCGTTTTTACGGTGCCTCAGGAGCACCGTAGGGGGCTCCCCGGGGCCCCAGGAGCAGCTTGATGGAGGCGTACTTCTTCTTGTTCAGCAGCAGCATGCTTCGGAACAGCCCGTCCATCTCAATCTCCAGGAGCTTGTACCGCTTGTTGACCTGTCAAGGGAGGGGAGGGAGGACTCATACGCAGGTTTGAAGTGTGGGGTGCTCCCCGGGTCCCAGGAGCAGCTTGACAGAGGCGTACTTCTTCTTGTTGAGCAGCAGCATGCTTCGGAATAGCCCGTCCATCTTGATTTCCAGGAGTTTATACCTCTTATTCACCTGCCAAAAGGGGTGGGAGTGGGTGAAAGGGCAGGGCAAAGGGGAAGGGCCAGGAGCAGCTTGACAGAGGCGTAGTTCTTCTTGTTCAGCAGCAGCATGCTGCGGAACAGCCCATCCATCTCAATCTCTAGAAGTTTGTAGTGCTTGTGGACCTGGTGTGGTGGATGGCAGAGGATAGAGGGGAAGGGCGAGGGTGTGGGGTGAGGGATGGTGTGCTGAGCAGTATCTTGTCCGGGGCTCGTCGCTTTTGAGGCGCGTCAAAAGCAGGTTCTGAAGCACGGTTTAGGGTTCACCGGCCCCAGGAGCAGCTTGACAAAGTGACTTTTGAGTCGACTCAAAAGTCACCAAGCACGGTGGGGGGTTCACCGGCCCCAGGAGCAGCGTGACACAGGAGTACTTCTTTTCGTTCCGCAGCAGCAGGTGCAGATGCGAACAAGCAGGAGAGGGATATTACGCGGTGGGCAATAGCAATGGCCTGGCTAGGGCCGTCCAGCCCGCTTCTAAAAAGCACCTCAACAACAACCGCCCCCTCCAACCCTCCTCACCTCTCCTCCCCTTCTCCTCACCTCTCCTCCCCTTCTCCTCACCTCTCCTCCCCTTCTCCTCACCTCTCCTCCCCTTCTCCTCACCTCTCCTCCCCTTCTCCTCACCTCTCCTCCCCTTCTCCTCACCTCTCCTCCCCTTCTCCTCACCTCTTTCTTGACGCGGTGGGCGATAGCAATGGCCTGGCTGGGGTCGTCCAGCCCAGTGTTGATCATGATGGAATCGGTGTCGCCGTATATCACCTCCAGGTTCAAGTTGTTCTGCACCAGATCCACTGTGCTCTGCAGAATGTCCCGACCCTGTAGGGGAGGGTGTCAACAACGTGGGGGGGGCAACAACACAGGTGGGTGTTGATCATGATGGAGTGAGTGTCGCTGTATATCACCTCCAGGTTCAAGTTGTTCTGCACCAGATCCACTGTGCTCTGAGGGATGTCTCGGCCCTGCAGAAGAGGAGGCAGGGACGGGCAGGCCGAATAAGGGAGCGAGGAGAGGGAAGCAAGGGCAGGTGGGGGCAGTGTTGATCATAATGGAATCCGTGTCGCCAAATCACCTCCAGATTCAGGTTGTTCTGCACCAGATCCACCGTGCTCTGCAGGATGTCCCGACCCTGGTAGATAGGGGGGAACGACAGCAGCAAAGGGGACGGGCAGCAATGCAGTTGTGTTGATCATGACGAGTCGGTGTCATCGTTTATCACCTCCAGGTTCAGTTTTTCAAGCGCCAGTAAGTTGCAGCACGTTTGCACAAGTTTGCAGAACGTCACAACCCAAAGAACGTGTGAGAGATCTACCAAAACTCGCTCACAGAACGGGAAACAGCAGGACATGGAATGAAGGAGATGGGATGGGGAGGCGTACCCTTGACGTGATGAGTTCAGCGAGGGGCTTGGCGAAGAAGCGTGAGTTGGAGAAGCCCAGGCAGCCGTACATGCTGCAGGGGGCGAGAGGAGCGGAAGGAGTGAGGGGAACGGGAGGGTTGGGGGAAGCGGGAGGGGCAAGGGGAGCGGGACAGGTGCAGGCGGGGTGACTTATGAGTCAATTTTACAGGAGTTGGCAAAAACGAACGAGTTAGAGAAGCCCAGGCAGCCGCACGTACTGCATGGACTGCATGGACTCATTCGTGTTATGCACGTACTGCATGGACTGCACGTACTGCATGGACTGCACGTACTGCATGGACTGCACGTACGGGCGCTTGAGGCGCCCAACATCCTAGCATCTAGTGTATCGCACCTGTTGGCAGTGAGCTTGAGCGCCTGCTGGCGGATGTCCAGCCGTTGCCTCTCGTCCGGGTCGTTCTCCCTCTTGAGCAGATCCTTCACCTGCCGCCTCCTCTGCACCAACATGCCCAGCACCTGCCAGGCACCACGCCAGACCGTATCATACCATTCCATACCGAACAAGAGAACCATAGAAAACTCATTTGGTCTCATGCCGTGGCATTTTCCTAGCAGCAGCTTGAATTTATCTCCAGGGTGTGGTGTGGTGGGGTGTGGAGTGGTGTGGAGCAGTGTGGAGCAGTCTGGTGCAGTGTGGCACATGGAACAGAACAGGCACCTAAACGCACGTACCTCTGGAGGCGCCCACGAAGATAAGGGTCAAGATCCTTTAGGGACCACAAGAGCGTACCTCTGGCAGCACCCCAGGGGGGTCAGGATCGGGCAGTTGGGGGAGAGAAGAGGCATCTTCCGGGCAGGCAACGGTGGTGAAGCAGATGTTGTATTCGCGGATGATGGACGGATACAGGCTGTTCAAGTCCAGCAGCACCACTACCCGTCCCTGACCCACTCAAAACCCACCTGGAACAGCAGCACGTTGCGTACCTCTGACAGCGCAAGTGCGTACCTCTGGCAGCACCCCAGGGGGGTCAGGGTCGGGTAGTTGAGGCAGCGAGGATGCATCATCGGGACAAGCGACGGTGGTGAAGCAGATGTTGTATTCGCGGATGATGGAGGGATACAGGCTGTTGAAGTCCAGCAGCACCACTATCTTATCATACAGCCCTCTCTTCGGCTCCAGCACCAACCCCCCTGCGTACCCCGGCCCCTTCTTCTTCCTCTCACCAACCCCCCCTCCTCCTCCTGTTCCTCCTCCCTTCTTTCCCCTCGCTCCTACTGCTCCTCCCTCAGCGCCCTCAGGAGTTTCCTCATCATCCCCCTCTTCTTCCTCTCCCCCTTCCACTCGCCCTGTAACCGTGGTATCCTCTCCTGCTCCTCCTGCTCCTCCTGCCTTTTCTTGCTTCTCCCCAGCATTCCCTCCTGCTCCTTTGCGTTTCTTTTTCTTGCCCGAGGCTGTAGCAGCAGTGACTGCCGCTTCTTTTTCTTTTGTGGTCAGCTTGTCGGGCAGCATGAATTTCCGGCGGTGGAATTCGTGCAGCAAGAGGTACTCGATTCGCTGGGCCCGGGATCCCTGACACCACCGGGCAGCAGAAAAAATACAACACGGATATCACAAGTGAGCAAAGAAGCTACTCCCATGAAGAACAAGATTGCAAACAACTACTCCTCTAAAATACATGCTCTCAACTTGACAAACACAACAGCATTTGCCCACCTGCAGTGTTTGGTTTTAAAGGTGTGCCCACCTGCAGTGTGCGGTTCCAGAGGTTGCCACTAAGGTTGGTGAGCTGGCGCGAGAGCGGCAGCACGGAGAGTTGGAACATGAGGGTGAGGGCCAGCCATGCGTCTGTCTCTACCAACTCCACCTGCAGGGAGGATGGGAGGGTGGGGGGTAACAAAACGAATCACAGAGCACTGATGTAAGCGCAGCGCACTGACTAGAGTTGGAACATGAGCGTGAGGGCCAGCCACGCGTCTGTCTCTACCAACTCCACCTGCACGGAGGGGGAGAGAGGAGGGAGGGAGGGAGGAGCGAGAGAAGGAGAGGAAGAGCAGCAGTGGCAGCACGGAGAGTTGGAACATGTGGGTGAGCGCCCAGCCCACCACGTGTCCGTCCACCAGCTCCATGTGTGCGTCGATGCAATACCTTACACGCTGACAAGCCTTACAAGTCGCCTTTTGAGTCGACTCAAGGTGACTTTTGAGTCGACGTGACTTTTGAGTCGACTCAAAAGTCACCTCCCCACCACGTGTCCGTCCACCAGCTCCATGTGTGCGTCGATGCAATACCTTACACGTTGACAAGCCTTACAAGTCGCCTTTTGAGTCGACTGAAGGTGACTTTTGAGTCGACGTGACTTTTGAGTCGACTCAAAAGTCACCTCCCCACCACGTGTCCATCCACCAGCTCCATGTGTGCGTCGATGCAATACCTTACACGCTGACAAGCCTTACAAGTCGCCTCATCACCATACTATCTGCACTGCACTCACCAGCTTCATAAGGCTCTCGCTGCTGCCATACATGCCAGGCACCTCAGCCGCTGCCACCTCCCTCCGCATATGGCCCAACTGAAGGCTATCCTGTCTTAAGGGATATTCTGTGCTGCATAGCCCTAACCAGTTCCATTCACCAGCCACTCACCAGCTTCATGAGGCTCTCGCTGCTGCCATACATCCCCGGCACCTCAGCCGCAGCCACTTCCCCCTTCTCGTGCCTACTTAAACTTGCTTGAGCATGCCTTGAGCCCTACTCTCTAGTCCACCACACTCACCAGCTTCATGAGGCTCTCGCTGCTGCCATACATCCCCGGCACCTCAGCCGCAGCCACCTCCCTCCGCGTGTGCCCCAGTTGACTCGCCGCCAGCGCCGACAACGAGTGGCTCACTTCCTTCGGCAGTATCTCTCGGGACGAAACGCTCGTGTCGATCAGCAGCCGCCCTGCCACAGCTGACAGCAGGCCGGGCGCCGCCCCTCCGCCGCCCCAGTTGCTGCCCGGGCCGCCCCCTAGCTTTGGCATCTGGGTGCGCTTGAGCCGACCAATCGCAGACCAGTTTCCCACACGACAAGCCTGGAGGGAAGGGACGGGGCAGGATAGCAAACAGCGTTACATGGTTACCAGGATAACACTCATCATAAGCAGGGATGGGGTGCGCATGGGCCGGGCAAGCTCAGACATTCATCTTACCAGGTTACTTTCTCACCTGAAAAATCACCTGAGCCCCACCTGGAAAACCACCTGAGCCCACCTGCATGCGCTGCAGCAGCACAGTGAGGTCAAACGCTGCCAGCCCGTGGCCTATGATGACGTCAGCATCCAGCCTTCCCATGCGCGCCAGCAGATAGCTGAGCAGCTCCCTCTCGCTATAGTCACACATTGGACACATTGAAGAAAGGGAGGGGGGAGAGAGGAAGTGGGGGGGGGGGGGTGGATTACACACATTGATTGAGAAGGGTGTGTGATAGTGCGATAGTGGCAGTAAATATGAGCTGTATGCAAGTGCATGGGATGAACACAAATAGATTGGATCCTGCGCTGTCTTGACAACCACAAATATTCCACTCACACTCACTCACACTCACTCACCTGCCCTTCTTGCTCAGCACTGGCCCGTCCCTCCCTGCCCTCTGATTGGCTGCAGCGATGGCAGAATCAAATCCCACGGGGGACATCACCCCCTCCAGCCGCCTCAGCACCGAGAAGTGGCCAAGCGATGCCGACCCACTCCACTCGCTGCGCGCCATCGGCCGGTCAATCTGAAGGTGTGAGGGGGAAGTGGGGTAGTGGGGGGGGAGTAGGTATGGGGGTTGAGAGGAGTGGGACGAGAGAGGAAGACAGGACACCAGAACATGGAAGCAGCACCAGCGACCTCATCAGCCTTCTTGGCCATCACAGATGCCCACTACATGCCAAAATGCTCCACTGCACTGCCCAGCGCAGCACCGCAGCACTGTACTGTACTGCACTGCACTGCACTGCACCGCACACCACTCTGCTCTTGACTGACCTTAGCGTTGCAGCGGAACACCACGGAGACAGCAGCTACCTCGTTAATGGAACCTTCACGTTCAGGGACACCCTTACCAGTGCACCGCTTAGCACCGCACATCCCCACTTTACACCATTTGGCACCGCGCACCACTCCCTTGACTGACCTTTGCATTGCGGCAGAACACCACGGAGACAGCAGCGACCTCGTTCACGTTCTTCCCATGGTTGACCACCGTCTTCACGTTCAGAGACGCCACCACTTGCACCGCTTAGCACCACTCTCATTACCAACTAACCTTGGCATTGCGGCAGAAGACGACAGAAACAGCAGCGACCTCGTTGACGTTCTTGCCATGGTTGACCACCGTCTTCACTCACTCAGCAACATGCCACACCGCCCTTAATATCGCTCCATTTAGCACCACACAGGACCACTTGGCACCCTTGCTACTGACCTTGGCATTACGGCAGAACACCACAGAGACAGCAGCGACCTCGTTCACGTTCTTGCCATGATTCACAACAGTCTTCACATTCAGAGACGCCACCACCCATACCAGTGCACCGGTTCTCACCACTCAGCACCCCTTGGCATTGCAACTAACCTTGGCATTGCGGCAGAACACCACAGAGACAGCAGCGACCTCGTTCACGTTCTTGCCATGATTCACAACAGTCTTCACGTTCAGGGACATGCCACACCGCCCTTACTAGTCACACCGCTTAGCACCGCACAGCACCACTCTCACTGCGGACTAACCTTGGCGTTTCTACAGAAGACCACGGAAACAGCAGCAACCTCGTTGACGTTCTTCCCATGGTTGACCACCGTCTTCACGTTTAGCGATGCCACCACCAGGGGCGGAGGGTCGCGCTCTGCTGCTGCTGGCGCCACCAGCTTGGGTGATGCCACTGATACCTCCACCCTGCAGTGACTCCTCTGGTGGGAGTAAACAGAGGGGGAGGGGGCATATGTGGAGAAGTTACAGTCAGCAGGGTGAAGCATCTGCTGTCTGCTGCTACCTGCTGCTGGCGCCACCAGCTTGGGTGACGCCACTGATACCTCCACCCTGCAGTGACTCCTCTGGTGCACGGGCAGGACAATGGAGGCAGGGTCAAGGACGGCAAGTGACGGGTCCAAGTGTGAATTCGAGGTGATCCAGTATAAGGCGATAATGCAAGGTGAAGCGGAGGTTGAAAATATCCCATACTAGTGCGTCTATGATTCATGTGAAATTACGCACTAGTACAGGAATTCAGAGATGAGGCACGGACCTGGGAGGCGGGGTGGATGCGGGTGGGGCGATCGATGGTCAGCCAGCAGGGGCACTTGAGACGCCGCTTCAGCAGTAGCAGCTCCAGCGCACTGCCGGTGGGGTGACGTGGGGTGGGGTGGGGTGGGGTGGGGTGGGGTGGGGTGGGGTCATCATGGGTTAGACGGACGCGGAGGCAGAGGGAACACCAGGAAGGGAAGAGAAGGATTCATAGTTAGGCTAGCCCAGCAAGGTAGTGATGCGGACGCCTGTCAGGTCCATGGGTACAGCTAGTCCAAGTGGGCTCTCGCCTAGTGTTCCACCCAACCATTCTTCCGCGCACACTGTCTCATATGGAGTCCCACACCCACTGAAGTGCAAGCCCGTGAGGGAGGTCTCTGAGTAAATCTAGATCACCGATTTCGCCCGGTGCTACAACCAAATTGCCTTTTGAGACGTCTCAAAAGTCGTCCACTGGCGCAAGCCCGTGAGGGAGGTCTCTGAGTAAATCTAGATCACCGATTTCGCCCGGTGCTACAACCAATTGCCTTTTGAGACGTCTCAAAAGTCGTCCACTGGCGCAAGCCCGTGAGGGAGGTCTCTGAGTAAATCTAGATCAACGAGTTCGCCCGGTGCTACAACCAGTTGCCATAGCCCTCCCGTCTCACCTGGTGTGGGTGCCCATCAGGGCACTGAAGTGTGTGCCTGTGAGGTCCGAAGGCAGAGGTGCATCCTGCAGTTATCAGCAGAGACGCAGTAAGAGAGAGGTATGAGAGGCGCAGTGAGAGGTGCGGTGAGAGGTGCATCCTGCAGTTATCAACAGACACGAGACGAGACACAGTCAGACATGCAGTGAGAGGCGGGAAGCAGCGAGAGAAACAGCCAACAGCCACACAATGAGCATCCTGGGAAAAAAACGGAAGGCAATCAGTCAGTCGTGATGGCACTTGCAAGCTTAACTTGAGCTCCGCGATTCAACTCACCGTGTAAGGATATGTGATCTTGAGCACATACTGCTCGCCTCGTGGGATATCCTTCCTCTCAAACGCGTATGAACGCTGCGTGAGACAGGGAGAGACAGAGGCACAGAAAAGAGGCAAACAGGCAGGCAGGGATGCAGGCACATGACCTCAGGATGAAGAGATTTTCACACGAATCCAAGCAAATGGATTTGGGCCAACAGAAGATATTTTCACTTCCATAAAGTGAACTGCTGCTAGTGAGGACTCTGGGGCAGCCAGCAGGCGACCCACCTTGACTGGCATCATGCAGAAGGAGGAGACGTTGCGCTCCATGAGTCGCTGGCGGATCTCCTCCTTGAGAGGCGTGGCTAGCTCCTGTGGAACCAGGGGGTGGGGGGGATGGGGAAGCGGGTGGTTGGGGGATCGGGGGGGGATGGAGAATCGGGGAGATGGGGAAGTGGGGATATGGGGAAGTGGGGAGAAGGGGAGTGGAGAAAACATGTTTTGATGATGAGCAAGCGCGCAAAGTTCCCCATTCCCAACCTAGTCCAAAAGCCCCATCCCCTCAACCCCATTCCCAACGCCCTATTCAGCCACTCACATGCAGCTTGCGCATCCTCTTGAGTCGAGCAGCCTTCACTCGCTCCGACTCCTCCTCGCCCTTGTTTCCCCCCTTCGCCCCACCGCCCTTGCCCTTCTGCCCGCCCCCCGCCTTGCCCGCGTCCTCCTCTCTGGCCTGCTGCTCCTCAGCCTCCAGCACGGCCAGCTGAGGGTCCTCAAACAGCCCCTCGCGAGGCACGGCGAATACGCACCGCTGCACGCCCTGCACGCCCACGCAGCAGCTCACGAACGACCCGCTGGCGCTGGGATTGCTGGTGTTCGTGGCTTGCTTTACAGGGACCTGCTTGGGGGGCAAGGGGGATGGTGGAAGGGCAAAAGATCATGGGAGTTTGCAATTGGAGAGGCACTGTAAACACGCACTACTGCAAGCCCTGCACGCTACGGAGCAGCTCACGTACGACTCGCCTACCTCTTCCCAAGCATCCCCTTCCCACTCTCTCCCAGACCCCCTCTCACCTTGCCAAACAGGAACACCGTGCCCTGAAGCGCGCCATAAGACTCCTCCACCGCGTCTAGGAAGAAGAACGGAAGCTTCCCATCTGCGTCCAGCGGAAGCCCCTCCACGTTCACGGGCGCATCTGACCCTGCTACAGCCGCACTCCCCGCTACAGCCGTTTGCCCTGCTACAGCCGCCCCCGTCCATCCCCCTTTATCCCATCCCGCTGCTGCGCCGGCCCTGCCAGGGCTGCCACCCTTCTCGTCTGCCAAGCCTGCTGCCGAGCCTCGGCTGACAGCGTGCCAAGCCGCAGACGCGTTCTCCTCCTGAGCCAGCGCTCCGAGCCTAGCATGCAGCTTCGGCGCCTGGCCTGCCTCGGCGGAATCCGGTTTGGTTGACTGCCCTCCGTCTACCGGACCACTCCCAGCTACAGCTCCTTCACCTGCCGCTGCTCCTGATACTTTTTCCTCTCCAGACTCTACGTTAACGCCTGTCGTCATACCAGCTCCACCACCGTTTACCCCGGCGTTGCTATTAGCTTCTCCTTTAGCACTAGGTGACCCGGAACCCGTACCTGCCCCTCCACCAGCAGTACCGGCATTCACCCCTTCGTGCTCACGTGCCCCAGCAGCAGGGATCATTTCGGGAAAGGGTGAGTCGTCGGGAAATGGCGCCGGTGGTGGCTGCTGCTTTTGCTGCTGCTGTCGGTCGGCAGAAACGACCGGCTCGTTTGACGGTGTGACGACAGGTGCGTCGTGGAAATCGTCGGGGTAGACGGGGGGCTTCGCGTGCTGCGCGAGTGGACGCCACGCGGAGGGCGTAACGGTCACAGCCACGCCGCCACCTGACGAATGCGAGTGAAAACGTCACCAAGCCACGGGAGGGAGAGGAAGGGACGGAAGAATGACGGGATGAGTCGGAGCGGACAAGGGACGTTGGGCGATGGTGGAGGTCGAGAGGCACAATTCGAACGTTTGCGGAGATCAAGCGCTAGAAGCTGAACTTATGCACACTCAGCCGCAATCCCGCCATGCCACCCGAGCAAAACCCGCAGAGGAACCCACAGCGAAACCACGCACACGTCGAGACGAACCAACCCACTCAATTGGACCGCACCTCTCCGTCTTCTCTTGTCGGGCAAGCGCTCATGCGCGTCCGCGCCGATCTCGTTAATCAGCTCCTCCAGCAGCGCCTCCGCCGCTTGCGCCTCGCCGGCCGGCAGTGCCTGCGAAGCTTGCCGGCCGCCGGCACGTGCGCCGGCAGCGGCGAACATGTTGGAGGCGCCGCGGCGCTTCCCCATCATGGCCGCGGCTGCGGAAAGCGCCTTCCGCGCGGCGACGCCCTCTCGGCGCGGCCTGGGCCCTAACGTGGGGAGCGGAAAAAAGGAGGCCAAGAAATAAGATAACTTCTGAGTCAACTTAAAAGCCACCTCGGAGGCCAAGAAATAAGATATCGCTTGACGTCTATTTGCTACGAGTAACGTCCTTAGTGCTACACAAAAGATGAGTGCCAGGGAACCAAAACTAAGGCTGCGTAAACTAATGTGCAGCATTTAAAGCCCGAGTCAGGCAAGCTAACAGCCAAGAGTGGCCATACAACAAGATAAAACTGCCAATTGGACTTTAAGTCACCCAACGACCAAGGGCGGAGAGAAACAAACGAGAGACCCGCAAACAATTGTAGAGCGAACTGTACGACAAAAGCTACTAACCCGCAGGCTTCTTCTCTTTCTTCTTCCGTCTGCCGCCGTCCTCGTCTTCGTCCCACGAGTCGTCGTCCTCATCGCGTCGATCCCAAACGTCCTCCAGACCCGTGTCCGCATACCCCAACCCGTTGTCGTCCACGACGAAGTTCTCGCCCGCCGCGCGACGCTGTGCGACGATTTTCTGGTACTCCGACTCGTCGACGACGTCGTACAGGCGATCCTCCTCCTTCAGCTCGAACGTGTCGATCCGTCGCTTGCGTCGCACAGCCTGGTCGCCCTGATCGCCGGCATCGTCGCCGTCGACAGGCGGCGGAGCGGAACCGGACTGGCGGCTGGCGCGGTGCGCAGCGAGTTCCGCAAGCGCGCTCTTGCGAGAGGTGGTCGCGGAGTCTATAGCTCTACGCGACCTGGTTGCCCTTTCCATGGCGACCAGCTTAACAAATTGGACGTTCCACTTAGAGCTACAATAAAAACTCTACGTGTGGAAATTAAGGAATGACAGGAAGATTTAACTAGGATGCTGCCTACTGCAACGTTGCCTCGTCTCCTCGAGCATCTTACACCAGAGAAACTACAAAAGGTTTCAGCTCACGGCACTGGGATTGACGAACACTGGGAATGGGCCACTGAGGAAGAAGGCTTGTGCTTGACGATGAGTTGAGTTGAGTTGAGTTGAGGGGAGCAAAAATCCATGTCACCGCGTCGCCGCACCCGACCTTCAATTCAACCTCGGGAAGCGCGCGGAGGCAGACTCTGAACGGCTTGTTTGAAATTTCAAAGTTTTAAAATCGTAAACGTAAATAAGGTAATATCATTTTTCTGAGATGATGAAACAAGAGCATTTGGCCGAGTGGTTAAGGCGTGTGCCTGCTAAGTACATGGGCTCTGCCCGCGAGAGTTCGAATCTCTCAGTGCTCGATACTTTTGTTTCCATTATAACATTTAGCTCAATTTCTTCTTGCACTGTAGGTATCTGTTCTGTATTTTAGCATAAAGTTCCCAGGAAAGTATTGGCTTTCAAAGAACTCAACTCTTATCATCTTTTTACATGCAGGACACGGAATCTAAATCTCTGTAAACAGAAGCGGCATGCCATGTTTCGCTTGTGCTGTGAGAGCAGCAGTAGGCTGATGCTGATACGAAGGCGATATACTCCATGAGACTTTAAGGAGTAAGTGAGAGAGGATGATCTTAGCCTCGGTAAGTCCAAACATGGCTCCAACGCAGTCCCGTGGACCACTGGAGAAAGGGATGAAGGCCTGCGGGTGTGAGCACGCTGCTTGCTGCCCGTCTGTGGGTTGGGTGCAGGGAGGACCGGGGGGGAGGGAGGCAGAAGAATGTTATTAAAACTTGCAAGCTCAACTCATGAAAACGACCACTTGTCGGCGTGCAAGCACCCCACACGAAGGAACAGGTCCACTTCATTGGGACTGAGACAGGGAGCGATGTGCACATCCTATGCAGGGATACCCGTGATATCCACGGGTATCGCCGTGGGAACGATGTAGGGAGCGATGTGCACATCCTATGCAACACCATCCTGGTACAACCCAGCATGTTATTTTCTCACCTTGAAACCTCTCGGGCTTGAATTCACGCGCGTCGGGTCCCCAGTAGGGCTCGTCGGCGTGCAAGCACCCGACAGGCAGGAACAGGTCCACGCCCTTGGGAATGACGTAGGGGCCGATGCGCACGTCCTGGGGAATACCTCCTCTATACACCCGGTAGCTCATTCTCACCTTGAAACCGTTCCGGCTTGAATTCGTGTGCGTCGGCCCCCCAGTACCGCTCGTCAGCATGCAAGCACCCGACAGGCAGGAACAGGTCCATGCCCTTGGGAATGACGTAGGGGCCGATGCGCACGTCCTGCTTGCTCGTGCGCGTTACGACGGGCACGGGGGGGAAGAGGCGAAGCGTTTCGAGCAGCACCATGTGCATGTCCTTCAGCTGCCCCGCCTGCTCCCATGTGACCTCCGCTCTGCTTGGTTCTGCTGCTGCTCGTGCCTCGGCTTCTCTTGCGCCTGCTACCGGTGCCTCCGCTGCTTGTGTGTGTGCTGCCTGAACTGCGTTGTCGTGAACAGAACCGTGCCTCGCTCTGGCTGTGCTGTTGCTGCTGCTGGCGTCGCTCTCACTGTCACTGTCCATGCCATCCTCACTGCTGCCGCCACCACTACTGCTGTCACCGCTGTCGCTGCTACTGCTGCTCTCTGCTCCATCATCCCGCACAACATCGTCTTCCCTCTCAGCTTTCTCGGCAACCTTAGCTGCCTCAGCCTCCCTCTCTTCCCTTCCTCCTCCGCCTCCCACCACGCGGACCACCTCGGATCGGAGCCGGTGCTGCCAGTGCGGGTGGCGGGCCAGCAGGTACATGCTCCACATCACCAGCACTGCCACTGACTCGTGGCCTGGAGGGTGGAGAGGGGTGCAATGCAATAACAGGGAGGAGTGAGACACAAGGGGAGTGCACACAATGAGGTTGGGTGGCGGGCCAGCAGGTACATGCTCCACATCACCAGCACCGCCACTGACTCGTGGCCTGGAGGGAGGAGAGGGGAACAGTCAGGTGCAATGCGGTGAGGTGCAATGCGGTGCCAGCAGGTACATGAACCCTAAACCCATCACCAGCACAGCCACTGACTCGTGGCCTGGGCGGGGATGGGGAAGGGGACGGGGAAAACACAGCAGCAACAGCAACGACAGCAGCAGATTCTTACCCAGCGAATCTCGCAGGCACGTGAAACCAAAGATAGTCTGCTTGTTTGAATTTGAAGGAACTGACCTGCCATGATGAGTGTCGCACACTGGTTCACCACTCTGTTCACCAGAGCAGCCGACAACACACCACCACCACCACCACCGCCAGCAGCAGCAGCAGCAGCAGCAGCGCGGGTCTCCTCCTCGCGCCTCATCTCCGCAGCCAGCAGCGCCGCCAGAATGTCTTTCCCCAGCCGCCCCTGCGCGCCCCCCTGCGCCCTGCGCGCGATCAGCTCCCCAAACAGCTGGCGGAACCGCTGCTCCACCGCCCACAGCGTGCGATTCTCAGGCGTGGGGAGGAGTCTGAAGAGATGAGGGGGTGGGGGAGAGTTTGGTGGAAGAGGCGCGGGGAGAGTAGGGAGGGGCGTGGGGGGAAGGGTTTTAAGTCACTCGAAACATCCACCGAGTGTCGAAGGGGAAAGGTCTTTTGAAGAGCCTCGAAGGGAATGGAGGCAGCAGGTGGTGTGAGACAGAGGAGAAAGGAGTGGTGGAAAGCGGTAAGCAAGACGTACGTGTAGAGCGGGATGAAGACCCGTCCTGAAAAGAACCGCGCTATGGCTTTAATCACCAGCGAGTGCAGCACCGTGTATATCCCCGCCACCCCCCGCTCCCCTCCCCGCTCCCCTTCCCTTCCTCCCGCTACCATCGCCCCATCCACCTCCTCCTCCTCCCCCTCCCAGCCCTCCTCTTCCCCTTCCCCCGCAGTCTCTTCTCTCTCCGCCTCCGCATCCGCCGCCGCCTCTGCCGCCGCGTTCCCCGCGTTCAGCGTGCTCACGCCAGCGGTGGCGCGGCCGCGGCCGCCGCTGACGGCGGTGCCGAGCACGGCGAGGCCGATGACGTCAAGAGTCACCGCGAACAGCACCTCCTGGATCTCCACCTCGCGCCCCTCTTGCTCCGTGCGGCCTTGCGCGGACCGCCCCTCTTGTGCGGTCCGCCCCCCTTGCGCGGACCGCCCCCCTTGCGTCGAGCGCTCTTCCGCATCCCGCCCTCCGTCCGCCGAACCTGCCGCATGATTTCCGCTCGAATCCTCGCCGCCTGCACGCGCTATTCGCTGCAGCAGCCGCGCAACGCCCTTGCGCGCCTGGCGGTTCATCACGGAGAGCGCGTGCTGCGGAAGGGGAGGGGAAGAAAAAGGAATCCCGGGGAAATTGGAATCGCGGAACAGGGAGAGCGCGTGCTGGGGAAGCCGCGGAGAGAAAACGGGAAACGGGGGAAATGTAGTCGCGAGACAGAAACGACGAGCGGAACGCAAGCGGCGAGCTGTGAGCAGCGAGCGGCGAAAGGCGAGCGGCGCGGGAGCCGGAACCGCGGAGCGGCGCGAGCGTTTTCCGAAAATGACGGCTCACGCGTCGCACCTTGATGGCGCCATGGCTGAACGAGGGGTTGACGGCCTTGCGCTGCCGCAGCCACTCCTCGCCGTCAACAAACGGCAAGCCGTCTCCCACGAAGCTCAGCGCGCGTTGCACGGCCGGCATCTTCTGAAAGCATCCCGACCGTCCGATCAGCACCTGCTGCACAAGATCCGGATCCGCGAGCACCAGCGCCGGTTGCGGGCCAGCGGCGAATCCAAACACCGTCCCGTATCGCGCAATCCAGTCGCACAGCAGCGGAGTGACCGTTTCCGGGCCGAGTGGTGCTGACGTGGCAGGCGAAATGGGGTCCTTGACTTGCCACTGTGACTGTAGCTCGGGAATCTGGCCAATGAGAGGCCGGAAGGGCAGGAACGGAATGTTTTGTCGTTTGCATGCGACGAAAAGGCGATAGGGAAGCCAGACGACGCGATAGAGGAGCAGCGCGAGCGACGATGCGACAATAATTGCGAGCGAACCCCATATATGACGCGAGTCGACGAATTCCATTACGGTATCCATAGTACGTTGGAGGAATGTACGATGCTGCGACTAATCTATTAGCGGGAAACCCGCGATGTGACGTTCAACGTCGGAGGAATGTATGAAGGCTTCGTGTCACCGGCTCAATACGCTTGCAGCAGGTCTGACAACTACGGGTCGCAGTGGCAGTGTGAGAGGAAGCGTAACTTTAGGAAAAGCGTCGTAGATTAAACTCAGAAAAAGAACGTGTTGCTTTCTACTGACGGACTTTTTGGTGGTCGCAACTGGCGACGTGAGGTATGAAGACGCCTTACGTGGCTGCAAGAGAGTGAAGCAGCAGCAGCATTGCCTGTCGGGCTTCCCAGGGCTAGCACGAGGATGCAAGTGAATACGAAAATGGTGGAGAACGAAAATGGCGGAGGTATGAAGGAACAAACGTAGGTACAGAAATGGGGAGGAGAAGTGGCGAGGTCGAGAAAGTTGAAAGGCTATTGGGGCACCGACCGAACCGCCGCTATCGATTGTGGCGACCAAATTCGCGCGAGGCTAGGCCGGTCCAGATTGTTGATTTTCGCTGATACGAAGGACGGGAATGCGAGGCGCGTTCAACTGTGACTGACGGATTGTTGGAAGTCCCGTAAGTACTGACTAGGGCTTTGCTAAGTTCCAGTCGTTGAAAATACAGTACACAGCGTTTGGGCTGGAATCGTTGGGAGTGTGAAAATCGGTGAACCCAGCGGCGGGTGTGTCGACTAGTCTGACGTGGCCTAGCGGGGCGAATGGCGTGGCGAATGGAATGGTGAATCGTGATGGTCCACTGTGGCCGATGATGATTGACAGCGCATGCGGAGCGGGTTGTGCCCGAACCCAAATGCTGCGCGCCTGCAGCATTGGTTGAACCTCGTGCCCGACCAGCCCTGTCGCCGCAGGGCAATTGCCCGTTTACACTGAGGTTTCCGGGATTTTTTCCAGCTCACCAAGTCAAGATTATCAAGCTCATACATTAAAACCAGGCTTGGTCGCATTCCTCAAATCTCAGTCATAAGTCTTTGTCCCATGCCTACAAATATTTTTGGGGCTTTTGGGTAACGACCTACGACAACCAAGAATCCTGTCCTGTCTCTGCCAGAGTGTATCTCATGTGTAACGCCCAGAATATCAGGAGATTGTGACGAGTCGAGGTGCATCGTAGTGGTTGATCGAGCATTTGGCACAATGAGTATCTCTATCGACGGTTCACGTTTTCCGGTGAAGCCGAAAACATGTGCTGATGTAAGCAACAGCTAAAATTCAACGGCTTTCTATTTGCTGCTGGGCAGACTGCCAATCGACCCCTATATAAGGATTCACTTTAATAGCAAGTGCTCACTCCCAACTTGCACTTAAGATACAGTATTGCCAAATACGGTAATCAATTCTCATACTCATACTTCATGCACAACACCCCCCCCCTTTCCCTTCTCCCCCTGCCGTCATGTAAGATACACATCAGCAACACACATTGCAAAATCAGCTAGTGTAACCTCCATGTTTTGCCTCCTTAACTGCCCGAGTCAAACTCACCCAACCTTCCCGCCTGTCCTCCTCGCTCTCCTGAGCCTCCTCCTCCGCCACACCCTTTGCACCGCCCACAAACTTCTCCTCACCCACCACCACCCCTCCCTCCCCCACCGAAAACTTCCCCAACCCCACTCTCCCTCCTCCCTTCTTCCCTCCTCCACCTCTATCCCCGCCCACAGGACTCAATTCCTCCTTAACTTCTTCCAAAACAAATGGCTCCATGAATTTCCATAGGAAATGAGCCGAGGGCCCCGAGAACCTCACAGCCCGCGGCCCTTTGCTCCCCTTGCCCCTCTTGCTCTGGGCGCAGTCAATAGTCCTCGCTTTAAGCGCCTTCACTATAAGCGCCACCTCCTTCGCCTGATACATCCGCGCATCCAGAACAATCGACCCTTGATTATGTTGACCAAGTTTTCCCCGTTGACTGGATTGACCGCGTTGACCCGCGTACATGTACCAGTAGGCGAGGGCGCGGGGGGTGAGCCACTTGTGCACAAGACGGGGCACCACGGCCCGCCCGTCCTGCTTCTCAGGGCGGTACTGGTGCAGGTAGAACACCAGTGAGGGGTGCGGCACCGTGCTGAATGTCAGCACCTGCTGCGTCTTGCCCACTGCACTGCCCATGCTGCCTGTCTCCCTGAATTCATTCACAGCCTGCTCCTTCCTGTCACCACCCTCGCCCTCCCCCTCCCCGTTCCCCCCATCCTCCCCCTCCTCCCCTTCGTTTCTCCCCCCCATCCGCCCAGTCGCCTCCTCACTCAAGTCCCCACTCCCCTCCTCCCCACCCCCATCCACACTCACCTCCTCCTCCACAATCGGACCAGCAGCCCACTCCTTAAACACCTCATACAGGTGCTCTATCACTCTCTCCTTCCTCTCGTCCCCCGCTGCCACCGCAAACCGCACCGCCGCCGTCGCGGCCCCGTCATCGCTCGCCACGTCAGCGCCAGCGAGGATCAGCCCGGATAAGATCTGGCGTTGCTCCTGCGAGAGCTTCAGCCCTGCAGATTCGTCCGCTACCAGACGCCGCCTGCCGACCGCTCGCAGGGCGGCTTGCCTCGCCGGACCGAGTAGTCGGGCTTTAAGCTTTGCAGGCGCGCTTCTCACCATTGCCCCTCCTGCTTCTCCTTCTTCTCCCTCTTCTTCCCCCTCTTCCTCTGTGTCCCCTACCTCGAAAGCAGCAGCAGAAGCAGCAGCGGGAGCACGGGCAGCTAGAGGAGCGCCGCCCCTCAAATCGGTGTAGACGGATCGCACCGTGTCAACTTCACCAGCGGCGCCAGCAGCCGCAATCACCAAGTTGTACGTCTCCTGGTTCGGCCCGAACCTCACCGCCAAACCTCCTTCCAAATCCGAACCTATCACCATAACCCTCCCCGCGTCACCCACCCCCTCACCCCCTACTGCACTCGTCCCTGCACCCGCCGCTACCCCCTTCGCGTTCTTCCTCCCCTCACCCTTGCTCTTCTCCTTTCTCTTCTTCGTCGCCTCTTCAACGCTCTGCATCGCTCTGTACACCTTCAGAGCTTCTTCAACCTTCCCAGCCTGAATCAACGCCCGGATGTACAGGTTCCAAGCCTCCTGGTTCGGCTCGCACCGAGCCTGAACCATGGCTCGGAAACACCCACCCACCGCCTCCAAAGACTTCCGTGCCTCTTCCCTCCCCTCCCCTCCACTCCATTCCCCTTCCCCACCTTCTCCCATCCCCCCTCCCTGCTCTATCCCCTCCACTACCCCCCCTTCCCCTCCCCCTCCCCCACCCATCTGAACATACCCTCTCAGCAGCGACAGATAAGCCTCCCTCAGGTGCACCCCAGGGATTCCCTCAGCTGCCATCTCCCCCACCACCTCCTCCGCCCTCCCCATCTCCCCCGCACCCACCAAACCCTCCACATACGCGTTATAAGCTCTCACCATCACCGCTTTGCCATCTGCTACTCTATCTCGTGCCCCGTCCCCTCCACCTTCCAATTTCCCTTTCCCCACCTCCAATTCTCCTTCTTCCCCCTCCCCTTCCTCCTCTCCCCCCTCCCCAATCCCAGTATCACTCTTCACCCTTTTAGAAAACTTGCTACCAGCCTCCACCACTCTCGGCCACACCTGCAAAACTTTTTCATGCTGCCCGGAGTGGTTATAAGTTTCCATCAGCGCTGCCAGCACCACCTGCCCGGGCAGAAAACCTTCCGATTCAAGCTCTTCAATCCCCCTCTCTGCTCTCTCTGCCAAACTCAACAGCCTTTCTCCTCCCCCTCCCCCCTTCATCCCCTCAGCTCCCTTCCCCCCGCCCACTCCCGCTCCCTCCCAATCCTTCCTCCTCTTCCCGGCCAATGCACACGCGACAACTGGCGCCTCGAGGGCGGCGGAATTCGGCGGTATTCCCGCCGCCCGCATCCGCGAGAGCAGATTCTCGGTGCGTGCCACGTCACCTGCAAGGCCGGCGTGGCGCAACAGTAGCGCATACCGGGCGGCACGGGCACGGGAATCAATACGCAAACGCACCCCTTCCTTTTCCTTCTCCCCCTCTACTCCCCCCTCCCCTTCTCCCTCCCCTTCCCCCTCCGCTTCCCCCTCCCCTCCCCCCTCCCCGTCCCCCATCCCCTCCCCAGCCTCCATGTCTCTCAGCAACTCTTCTGATTTCACCAAGTGTCGCCCAGAGCTGCCCCTGAGAGTAACACCGCCTCCTCCGGTCAGTGCTGCCCAGATCTCCTCCTGTACAGCCCTGCTGGGTGTGAGCTCGGCAAACTGCTTCATCTGCCGGTACACCTCCCAACCCCTCTCCACCTCTGCCGCCGCCTTCTCAGCCTGTTTCATCTCCTTGAACCCCGTGAACCCCCCGGGCCCTTTCCCAGCCTCTGCACCGCTCTCCACCGCTCTGCTCCCCTCCCGACCTTCGCATACCCCTCCAGTTCCATCTTCCTCCTCCCCTTCCCCACTCGGGCCCTTCCCCTCCTGCAACCGTCGCCTTTCTCTTAAGAACATTCGGATTAGCCCCTCGTAGTTTCTTCTAGGCGGCACCAGCCCGTGAGTCAGCATCATGTCAAAGAGCTCCTGCGCGCGTGGCACGTGCTGATTGGCCGTTGCTGCGTCTAGCATGTCAGCATAGAGGGAGGGGATGGGCGCGTAGAAGGCGGTTTGGCGCGCCCACTTGAGCGCCTGGAGAGACAGGGAGAGCGGGGGAAGGGGGAGGGGAAAGGGGAGCAGGGGGACAGGGAGTGGGTTGAGAGCAGGTAGGAATAGAGGGAGGGGATGGCCGCGTAGAAGGCGGTTTGGCGTGCCCATTTGAGCGCCTAAAGAGGCAGTGGGGAAGGGGGGAGCGGAAAAAGGGAGGGGAGCAGGGTGACAGGGAGTGGGTTGCGTGGAGCGAGAGGATGGGCGCGTGGAATGCGGTATGGCGAGGTGACTTTTGAGTCGACTCAAAAGTCACCTCGTGACAGGGAGTGGGTTGCGTAGAGCGAGAGGATGGGCGCGTGGAATGCGGTTTCGCGCGCCCACTTGAGCGCCTTGAGCGTCTGGAGCGCCCGAACCCCCAAACCCCTCCAAACCCCTCCAGGCCCCTGACCACCCCCTAAACCCCAAACCCCCATATCACATTCTAACACCAGGAGGCTAGACATAGGACCAAACATACCCGGATGGCCCACAGAATCTCCCCTCGTCCCAACAGCCCCCTGACCACCCCCTCCACATGCTCCATCCCTATACACTCCCATCCATCCCCTAAACCTTGAACCCCTAACCCAAGAGGCTTCACACCCAGCACATACCCGGATGGTCCTCAGAGTCTCCCCTCGTGCCAACAGCCCCCTCACCACCCCCTCCACATGCTCCATCCCTATCCACGTCCATCCATCCCCTAAAACCCTGAACCCTCACCCCCAGAAGCTTCACGCCCAACACATACCCGGATGGCCCGAAGAGTCTCCCCTCGTCCCAACAGCCCCCTGACCACCCCCTCCACATGCTCCATGCCTATCCACGCCCGCTGCGCGTTCAGCAGCTTCACGATCGCTGCTGGCCGGAGCACCGCCAGCTCATCAATCAGCCACGCCACCTTTAACTTTGCCATGTCAGCAGCACCCTCCTGGTCCCTCTCCTTTAAACCCCCGCTTAAACCCCGCTCCGACTCCCTCTCCCTCTCCCACTCCCTGCTACGATCCCAGTCTCTGTCGCTCTCAGCGTCTCTCCTCGCTCGTTTCTCCACCATTTTCCGTTGCCATTTTGCTGCATCCTCCCGCACGTAGGGCACTGCTGGTCTCTCCAGAAGGGTTTGCCAGGGCGGCCTGTCAACATCTTGGGGAAGATCTGGATTGAGATTTGATTCTCTCCAGATCTGCTGCTTCTCCTCGGCAGACAGACCCTGGGAAAACTCCTGGCGCTTAAAACCCTGAACCCCGTCGACCTTGCCCCCAACCTCCTTCCTTTCCCATGCTCTGTCCTCTCCCTCCTCCTCCTCCCCTTCGCCATCCTGCTTAGACTCTTCATGTTCTCCATCCTCCTCCTCATCCCACTCATCTTCCTCCTCACCCTCATACGCACACGGATCATCTTCATCTTCCTCCTCCTCCTCTTCGTCCTCCTCCCCCTCTTCCTCCTCCTCATCCTCTTCTTCCTCCTCCTCCCCCTCATCTCCGTCCCCCATCCACCTCTTCCCATCCGCACTGGTACCCAGAGCGCCACTCACATCGCGCCGTCGATCCCTCCCCGTGCCCTTATACCCACTGCCGCTCACCCAATACACCCCCTTGTACCCCTCCTCCCCCTCCGCCGCCTCCGCCCCTTCTCCCCTTTCTCCCCTTTCCGCCCCTTTCACACCTACCACCCCCACCTTCCGACGTCCTTCCGCTGCTCCCCTTATCCCCGTTCCAATCTCCCCCCACCCCTCACTTTCCGCAGCTAGTATTGCCCCGGTTTCTCCCTCCCCCCATCTATTCCTACGCGCGCCTGCCATGCTGTCACTTCCCCTGCCAATCTCCCCCATACTCTCCCCGTTCCCCATGTCCCCTCTGCCCCCCATGCCCCTTCCGCGCCCCCTTCCCCCACCGCTCCCTCTACCCCCTCTTCCCCCCCTGCTCCCCCGTTCCCCCCAGCTGCTCCTCCCCGCACTGCTCCCCCTGCCCTCCCAGCTGCTCCTTCCCTCCCTGCTCCCCCTTCCTCTGCTTCCCCCTCTTCCCCCCCCGTCCCCCCCTTCCCCCCCTGCTCCCCCTGTCCTCCCTGCTCCCCCTGTCTCCCCAGCTCCCCCTGCTACCGCTCCCGCTGCTTGCGCCATCCCCCACTCCGCGCCCCCCCTGCCCCATCCGCTCCCGCTTCTCCATCTCATGCTCTCGACTGCTCCTCGACCCGCGCTGCTCCCATGATCTCGCGCCGCCCCTCTCCCCCCGCCCACCACCACCCGCGCTTCTGTTCCCCCACTCTCCGCCATCCGCGCTTCTGTTCTCCCACTCTCCGCCACCCGCGCTTCTGTTCTCTCCTCTCCCGTTCCCCCACTCCCTCGCCATTCCCCTCTTTTCCCACTCCCTTCCACCGCCGCTCCTACTTTCCCGTCCTCTCCCCTCTCCCCTCCCCCTCTGTAACCCCCTATCACCCCCACCTCTACTCTCCCACTCTCTCCTCCTCCCCCCACCCTCCCTATCTCCTTCCTTCCTACCCTCCCACTCTCTGCCTCCTTCGTTCCGCCTGTCCCACCCTCTCCCACCACCCATCCTGCCCCTCCCTCCCCCGTCGCTCCGTCTGCGATCCCCCTCCGCCGTCCGATCCCCAGATGAACGCACCCCTCCCGTCTGATCTTTCGCATCTGAAACAGCCCAGCTGCTTCCAGCCGTCCGATCCCAGGGGTCTTGGCCAAGCCGTTGAAACGAAGCCTTTGGATTGCGAGGGCGGAAGCTTTTAGCCCGCGGCTCTTCCAGCTTCGACTCGCCTCCCTTGTCTGCAGCGGTAGCGGAGGCGCTATATTCGCGCAAGAGAGGAAGCCCCGCGCAAAGCGGTGGTTGAGACATCGCCAGCCGTTGGATTGACTGCCGAGCCAATGTGGACGGCACAGATCCGCCGTTACTGGAACCCCACACTTCACTGGTCCTCAGCAGCCTCACCGCTCCTGCTAAAGCCCCCCGGGATATGAACCCAGACCGCTGATCTCGCGCCAACAGCGCGCTTAGCGGCTGCGACGGACACGGACCGTACGATCCGCATATACGGACGCCAATTGGTGTGGATCCGTGCCAAGGCAAGGACCTAGCGACCCTCCGCGATCTACCCGCAGTTGTTCCTGCCCTGATGGCCGCAGCCATTGTACCCGCCGTTGATTCGACGGATGGCACAGAATTCGAAATCAAAGGTTGTCGTTCGTTGACCAGCGTAAGCGCGCGACGCGCGGACGCGCGAAGAGGGGCCATTTTGGGCCCGGCTAATTCAGGGGCTCAGGTGAATTGACGAGAAAATACCAAACCTTTCCTTTCAGGGCCTGATGTACGCGTTATGGTGTGGAAAAACTTTCCCGGGTTGATCGAAGCTGGGAGAATATCGAGGCAGCACGAAGCTTTGAATATATTTGGGTGGTGCACCCACATACATTCCGTTATCTGCTCCGACAAAAGGTTTCTGTGCAATCATTTATTGTACGCATTATTTTTTAAGAACCGTACAGTTCCCAACCATTTCCAAGTCCCCATTCCGCAATTCCCAACAACCTTGAGAACGAGTCTTGTCATTCTGACGGCAGCGCAGCGAATATCCAGTCCCAGCCCTCGTCATTGGCGCGAAAAGCCACGTCAATCACGTGGGCATTTTCCAGCTCAGCCAAACTTGCAGCCAATCATTGATGTCAAGTCAGGTAATCGCTGTCGCGCTGGCTCCCATCTGGAACCACGGCATGCCCCATGCTTGACGAAAGCAAATCGTCACTGCATCGGTTCTTCCCTCCCAGCCATGTTGAATTTCCATTTTCCTGGTCTTCGTTCAGGCAGCCATAACTTCTCTGACCATCTTATTTACTCCTTCAGCTCAATCTCTGTAGCCTTAGTTTCTTCTCGTCCTCGTTCTGGCCATTCTTAGGTTCGTAAATGTCGATGTTTTTTTATTTGCGGTCGCCTGACTATCCTAGGACTATTACCTGGTGAAGCATATTACATACGGATTCTCAAGACTCGTTTACCCTAAGACCAGCTTTCCGATTTTTGTAAGGTCGCTCAAGCCGCTTTCCGCTAGGACCCCGAAGACAGATTTATATGAACCAGGCTTAACGTTCAGTATAAAGCGGCTTCTACTATTGTAATAGGATCAATGAGTGGATCTACCTGTCACGCGTAGGGACCCCAGCGCAATAGACATCTCCCACGGCTGCTGCCAGCAGCGCATTCCTCAACCTCGAACACAGAATACCCGCATTTCAACAACAATGGCGGCCTCGGTCAACGGAATGTCGTCGTCCTCGCGTCATGCTCTCAGCACAGCTTCACGATTCCACCACCACCTCTACCTCGCAGCCGCTCCAGCAACGGCCCTCCTCCAGCACTCTCTGGCAGCTCTTACCACGCTATCTCAGGCCCCTCCTTCTGTTCCCTCCGCCTCTGCACCGCCCTTGGGAACGTCTCCTGGTCATGAAACCGCTACAGCCGGAGGTCATACGAGCTGTTCTCCTCTGCCCGTCAGCTCCCCTTCAGTCGGCAGGCGCTTTCTGTCAACCCCGGCCTCCTTCTTTCACCCTCACCTCTCCTTTTCCGGCCGACCCGCGGGCTCTTTCCCCTCGCCAGCCGCCCTCTCCCGCCATTCTCTCCGCTCACCTCCACGTCATCTGTCCCCCACATTCGCTGCAAGCGCCGCGAATCCCGTCCTCGACCAGCCCCTCTCCTTCCGTCCCTTCTTCTCCTCTACCGGTAACAGCAGCGGCGGCGACAAAGTGGACGTCGCGTCGTCCACGCTAGCAGATGCTGCGCGAAAGGCGGCAGGCGGACCGGCGGGAGACGCGGCGGCCGCTGCGGAGTCGCTCAATGTGGAGAACGTGCAGAAGCTGTTTCAACAGCTGTCCACGTCAGAGGTCGCGAACGCGATCCTGAACCTCGAAATGGCGGCGCGGGAGATGGTGGTGGACGCCAGCTCAGCGCTGCTGACGTCACCTGTGATGCGGATTCCGCTGGTGGCGGGGCCGGTGCTGTGGGGGGTGCGGAAGACAGCGCATAAGCACTTCTGTGCGGGGGAGACGCTGGAGGAGGCGGTTGCGACGCTTGACCGCATGCAGCAACTCGGGCTCAAGGGCATTCTGGACTTCAGGTACTGTACATTTTTGGTTTAAACATTTTATACGAATAAACGCACTCATGTACAGTACAGTGGGATTCATCGTGTAGCCGAAAACGATTTTACCGAAGCGAAGCGTACAGAGAGGAGGTGAAGGAAGCGAGAGTCTGGCAAACTCAGATGAACAGCCATAGTTTGTAAGGGAGTCACCGCTTGCGGTTCAAGCGTCCGCCTACGAGCTTCCAAAATGCTCCGCGAAGAGGTGCATGTGATTGCTGTTACGCGCGTTTCTTAGAGCAAAGCGTTTATAGAAACGACTGCAAGTAAAACTAGTACATGGGATGAGCTAGAGAGGAAACAGCTAGAGAGGAAGCAGCTAGAGAGGAAACAGCTACAGAGAAGAGCTTGAGTAAAGCTGTACAGTCAGATGCCATATTGAAACGACAGAATGGAGCTTACTGATTGATCATCTAGATGCCATCTTCTCTAACAATGCCGAGGCGTGAAGCTTGTAATCACTTCTAGACGTCAAAACGACAGCAATTCCGGGCAAAGCTTGTCAGATCGGAGCTCTTTTACTTATCAGCTTTTACTGCATCGTGAACAGACACTACCAGGGCAGCAGATCACTGACCTCCATAACGGTACCAGCTATACGATTCGTGTACTCTCGGCGGTTTACTGCGGGGAGAAGCGTGGCTTGCGTAACAAGCTCTGCTTTAGACGTCGCATTTACTTGTGTGCGCGTTTTACACTTCATGTACCCACCAGACTCCGCGCTCCCCTCACTCTCCGCGCCTCCCCCTTATCGCCGCTGCTTCCGCACGTCGCTCCTGCACCGCCGCGTTCAGCAGCAGCCGTTCCGCCAGCACAGTCGACGCGTGCGCGCCCGCGCTCGCCACGCTCGCGGTCGCCGTGGCTGTCACCGCCACCACCGCCGCGCTGGTCGTCGCCGCGATGGCGCGCGCAAGCGCGCGGAAAGTCTTCTTGCGCGGAGACTCCGCGGCGTCCCCGCTGGTCCACGCGATGGCGGCGGTTGCGCCGAGCGCGGCAATCACGGCGACGCAAGCCGTGCAGGTCGAGTAGGATGCGGTGAGAGACGAAACTGCCGCCCATGACGATGCCACCTCGGCCGCCTCTTTCAGCTGCCGCTGGTGGTCGTCCAAACGCGATTCGTGATCCACTTCCCCGCTGGCGCTGGCGTTGGCGTTAGCGTTGGCGTTAGGGTTGGCGTTGGCGTTGGCGTTGGCGTTGGTGCTGGCGTTGACGTTTCCGTTTACATTGGCATTCGCGTTTCTGTTGGAGCTCGTATCCGCGGGCGTAGCCGAATTCGATGAGAGAGCAGCGGGATTTGCTCTTTGAATGCCTCCAGGTCCTGCCGGACCTATTACTAATACCGGTTCAGCGGAGGTGCCGTCGTGGGTCAAGCCACCTGCACGGCGCGCTATGACCCGAGCTCCGCCAGTAGGACCCGACGATCCCGAGGTGCCCTCCATCTCCGCGGCGTGAGTAACGAATTGAAGCGCGAGCTGTCGATGAGGGCGTCGATTACGCTCGAGAGAAGCAGGAATTGTGAGAGCGAGTAGCTGCGTCTGATCGATGTAGAGAAGAGCAGTTGCGAGCTTCGATTTGTACGAGGGAAGCGAGTGCTGGAGAGAGTCTGAGCTGACAAGGAAGGGTGCAGTGGAACGGGCTTAGTGCTGGTGGTGGGTTGCGGAAACGAAGCGAGTTTCAGAGGACATTGAAAATGCCGAATTTCGGACCACGCGGCTCGCGAAGGTGGATGAATTCCGACGTCCTTGAGAAAGTGCCGGTTGGTATTCTGAACAAGGTTGGGGAAGTGCTACACCAAAGTCAGAACCTTTATATGTTAAATTCGTAACATTGATATTTATAGTTTAACAAAATATAAATGTCACAAATTCATGTAACACCTGTGTTTCATATATGACTAGCAATAAAGAACAAATGTGCGTAATCTTTTTTCCACCCTTATCCCCTTCCTTCCCATGTTCCTTCGCCTCAACAATACAGTGTGGAGGACGCGTTAGACGATGAAACATGCGACCGCAACATGGACGGGTTTCTGCGCACCATCAGAATGGCCTCACAGCTGTCACCACCCATGGTGAGTGTTTCTTTTAATTGATGCAAAAGAAGGCTCTTGATGAAAATTTGTGAAAATTAACTAGGTGCTACAAGTAAACTGAGGCTACCCACCCTGTGAAAAAAATAGAAATCTTCTACATCCATTGAGCTCGATATATTTAAAAATTAAGCTGTCCATTCCTAATCATTTGCATTCCACACGTCCATCCATAGCCGGATTTCCATCCAGGCCCCTTTGGAGGTCCTTTCCCTTTTTAATACAGGCAACAAATTCCCTGCCCTGTTATGCATCCCAATCACCACATGCAGGTGAGCTTCGCCTGTGTCAAGATCACAGCCCTCTGCCCACTTCCTGTGCTTGAGCGAGTCAGCGAGCTCCTGCGCTGGGATCACAAACTTTCCTCTTCCTCCTCTTCCTCCACCTCCTCCTCATCTGCCTCTGTCCCCATGCCATGGCGCCGGCCCTCCCTCCCCATTCTCGCTCCCGAGTCCCCCACCTACTTCACTCCCTCCTCCGCACCTTCCCCTCTCACTCCCAGCGAGGAAGCCGCCATCACAGCGGCTCACGATAGACTAAGGAAAATCTGTGATGCCTGTGCTGAGGGCCGTCTACCCCTCTTGATAGACGCAGAGTACCAGTCTGTGGAACCAGCGATTGATTACTTGGCGTATGCGTTGATGATGGAGTATAATAAGACGGGTGTGACTGTAACAGGAGGTGGGAAGGAGGCGGGGAAAACAGAGGCAGAGTTGCCGTTGGTGTATTCCACAGTGCAGTGTTACCTGCGGGATGCGAACCCGAGGCTGGCTGCTAGCTTCGGCGCGGCGCAGGAGGCCGGGGTTGGGTTCGGGGTGAAGCTGGTTCGGGGGGCGTATCTGGTCCGGGAATCTGCCGAAGCTAAGAAGCGTGGAGCAACATCACCAGTGCACGAGAGCATTGAGAACACGCATAAGTGCTATGATGCTTGTGCGGGAATGATGATTGATGCTGCAGGGGCGGCTGCTAAGAGGGAGTCTAAGGGGGAGAGCGGGCCTGCTGCTGGCGTGGTACTGGCAACCCACAACTATGGATCAGGTACAGAATATGATCATCCCGCTTCTCATATATTCTCACATCTGTCTTCTTATCCTCCTGCTCATCCCGCTTCTCATCCTTCTCCTCATCCCTCATCCCATCCCGCTTCTCATCCCGCTTCTCACCCTTCTCCTCATCCCTCATCCCTCATCTCATCCCTCTCCCTCTTCTCATCCCTCATCTCATCCCTCATCTCATCCCTCATCTCATCCCTCTTCTCATCCCTCATCTCATCCCTCTTCCCGCTTCTCATCCCGCTTCTCATCCCGCTTATCATCCCTCTTCTCATCGCACTCCCTCCTTTGCTCTCCATGATCTTCCCTGAACACGCCCTTCCCCTCCAATCTCTCACCCCATCCTTCTCATCTCCCACAGGCCGTGTGGCAGTGGTACGAGCTGGCGACGCAGGATTGGCCCGCACGGATCCTCGGCTGCACTTAGCGCAGATCAAAGGGATAGCGGACGGGCTCTCCCGAGGCTCGGATTCGCTGGCTTCATCTCGTCGGAGTACCTACCCTATGGTCCTGTGCGGGATGGTCTCCTTCTCTCGTAACCCTCATCCCTTCCTCCTGCATGATCCCCTGCTCTCATCCTCGCTCACCCTTCAATCCCCGCAGGCCGGGTGGCAGTGGTGCGAGCTGGCGGCGCAGGATTGGCTCGCACGGATCCTCGGCTGCACTTTGCACAGCTCAAGGGGATGGCGGATGGGCTCTCCTTGGGGCTCGGATTCGCTGGCTTCAACGCATCAAAATATCTTCCGTATGGTCCCGTGCGAGATGTCATGCCGTACCTGCTGCGTCGCGCGCATGAGAACCGAGGTGTGCTGGGCAACACTCGCGACGAGCGACAATGGCTCAGGTAAGATTTGGTTCTTCTTGTGGCCCGATTCAAAAAACAGCATTCTGTTTTTTTTGTCGTGCTTACAGCTTTCCGCTAGCATACAATGCCAGCCATATTGTGTGAATGTGTCAAGCCTGGGATGCCTTAGGCAATGATAGAACGAGGCTAATAATGTGGTGGTGTTGATGCTTGCAGGGCTGAACTTATGCGCCGGATCCGCTCAGTATTTGGAGGTTGATCATGTTTGGAGCAGATTCTGTGATTGTATTACTTATCTGCCTATGAAAGAATGTGGTGTGCATAATCTCTCTCAATAACGCACAGCTGACTGTTGATTGTTCTGCTGGACTCTCCTTGACTGGAAGAAATCGTCCCCACGCCATCTCATTGGTGAGAAGTCATGAATGCACGATTTCAGCCACATCAGAAACGGGTCGCTATTGATGAACCCACCCCCAACGCATGCGAATCCTGTAGCACAACGACTTCTCTCTGGGCCATAGAATCAAAGTACTGTAGAGGTGGTCGAGCCGCAGGTGAAGCGTCTGTAATAATTCAACCTGCGTTGAGATTTACCGAGACGCAAGTAATGAGCACGGATGCAGCCCACTCTGCCCGTTGTTCTCGTGGCCCACCCAGTCTTGTGAATACTGCGAACAACTAAGTATCGTTTCCCGATTTTATGGCTTCCCAGTTCGTTAGATTTGGAAAACAGCTGCCCCGGGCAGACAAGGGCTATATCTTCTTGTGGATGTCGTCAACCGTGCAATCTCCCAGAGAGATGAGTGGAAGAAAACTTGAGCCGATCCACCCATTCCGTGGCAGTCGTGGTCTGAATGATGCATTTTGTACAGAAAGAGCTTGTTGGCACGCGGCCCATGATGCATTCTGCGTGAACAGCGGGCAAGCTCTACAGTTTTTGTTTTGCTGGCCGAGTGTATCGAGTGTACTGAACGGCATCTGAAGAATACATGATTTCGATCCAAATATTTGCACATTTAATGGGTGCTTGGTGCAGGGATTCTTTCTACGGTTGTGGAGACGGAGACTGAGGGCGGGTCCAACTTTGCACACTCCCGTTTTTTCCGTTATTTTTACGTCAATGCACTAGTCAAACTTGACTGTACCCCAGGGCAAACTCCAAACATTTCCTGTCCAGTTCCGAGTGCACAATTCGGACCTTTGACAAGGTACAGTAACGCTGCGGGGTACAGTACCTGGGATGAGGGGTTAACCAATAAAGCGAGGTTTTTTGCACCTGTGACGGAGGGGGGGTTTATTGGCGAAAACAAATTAGCGAAAAAAGGTGTTACCTTTTGGCGTGTTTGACGCGAAACGAGTTTGACGTGAACCTTCGGACATGTTCTGCACGTCCCCGGGCACGTTTCCGTAATGTTAGGCCCCTTGGCCTAAATCCGCTAAGGAATAGCGGGGTTGACTAAATCGAGGATAAACGCGGCGGAAGACTTTGGCGAAAGAGAGTGTTGGCGAAATAGGCGAAGAGGTAACTGAGTAATTGAAGAGTTGAATGAGAATTGATTGATATTGGGGAATACAAGCAAGGTTGATATAGCATGCAAGATCGAATGATGGAAAGTACTTCGTGGGACTAGAAAGTAGAAGCAATAAAAGTAGAGTGCCACGTGGCACTAGGAAATCCAAGAAGATAAGGATAAGGATGGGGTTGGAAAGTACTGTTCAAAGGGAACAGTAAATCCCCCCTTAACACTACCCCCCTCCCAAGGAGGCGACGTCCGCGGCGCCTGCAGACTGAAGGTACGCTTGGAGGTAAGCGTTGTCAGGAGACAGTGAGGACGAAGGAACCCAGCTGTCGTCTGCTGCGTCGTAACCACGCCAACGAACCAAGAAGTCGATGAAAGAGACACCCCCCTGGAGACGGCGTCGGTGCCTGAGGATGCGCTGGATCTGGTAGTCGGGCTCGTCGGTGTCAACAGCTACCGGCAGTGGATTGCGATCACGGCCCGAGAATGCGGTGTTAGGATCGGTGTAAGGCCGAAGAAGAGACACGTGGAATGACGGGTGCATGCGGAAATGAGCGGGAAGGCGAAGGCGGTATGCGACTGGACCAAGTGCGCGCTCAATGACAAATGGACCAATGAAGCGTGGGCGGAGCTTGCTGTCCTGTGGCAGTCGGAGGTTGCGGCTATCCAAAAGAACACGGTCGCCGACTGAAAACGACACCTCACGACGACTGCGGTTGGTGGTGCGTGCCATGTGTGCATTTGCGAGCTCAAGGTGCTTCCTCACGTGATCATGAATGAAGGTGAGATGCTGGTGGAAGTTGTCCGCACAAGGGACTGTGGGTGTGAGATCGACACGAGTGGGGACATTGGGGTGCTGACCGTACAGTGCGAAGAACGGTGACATGCCTGTGGACGAGTGGTGCGTGTTGTTGTAGGCGAACTCGGCCATGCTCAGCTTCTTGTCCCACGCGGCTGCGTCGTGCATCGTGATGCTGCGAAGAATCTGCTCCAAGGTCTGGTTCACACGCTCGGTCTGTCCGTCTGTCTCTGGATGGTACGCAGACGACATGGCTAAGCGAGTCCCAAGCAGTGCGAAAAGCTGCTTCCAGAACTTCGAAGTGAAACGAGGGTCGCGGTCTGAGATGATGGAATCTGGAACCCCGTGCAGTCGGACTACGTTATCTGCGAACAGCGTCGCGGCTTCCTCTGCTGTGACCTTGCCGTGCGTGGGGATGAAGTGCGCTGCTCGAGAAAACTTATCCACTACCACGAAGATGGCGTCGTGACCCCTAACTGTGCGTGGTAATGCCATGATGAAATCCATGGTAACAACCTGCCAAGGGCGGTCGGGCGGTGGAATCGGCTGCAAAAGTCCTGCCTTGCGCTGGCGAGAGGACTTTGTACGCTGACACGTGTCGCACGAGCGAATGTAATCCTCTACGTCTGCTGCAAGCCCTGGCCAGTAGTACGTGCGACTAAGCGTCTTAGCCGTCTTATCTGCTCCGACGTGCCCTGCACTAACTACGTCGTGCGCCTCTGAGAGAAGAAGCTGTCGAAGAGGGCGGTAGGCTGGAACCCAAATCCGTGTGGTACCCTTGCGTATGTAGACAATACCTTGCACCTCTGCTCCTGCGGGCGGCTGCGGTGTGAAGTCGGGATCTACTGTGTAACCGTGCTCGAAGAGTGCTGTGAGAAGTGGATGGCCGGCAGTGACTGTGAGGCTAGCGAGCTGGCAACTAGGGCGAGTGAGCGGATCTGCTGGGTTGCGAACGCCTGGCTTGTACTCTATCCTGTAGTGAAAACTCCCCTCCATGAACTCCATCCATCTAGCCTGGCGACGACTCAGCTGCGGCTGCGACTTGAGGAAACGAAGCGAGCAATGGTCCGTGCGTATAACACTATCTGCCCCCTCTAGGTAGCACCTCCACACCTTATACGCATGGATGGTCGCGAGCGCCTCCTTGTCGTGTATGGGATAGTTCAACTCCGCTCCCCTAAGCTTACGCGACTCGTACGCGATCGGCTGCAACCCGCGTCCCTGGTCCTGAAGAAGCACTGCTCCTATGGCCCGATCTGAAGCGTCGGTCACTACAACGTACGGGCGAGTGGGATCAGGGTACGACAGTGTCGGTGAAGACGTGAGCGACTGCTTCATCTGCTCGAACGCCTGCTGCTGCGCTGGACCCCAATCGAAATCTACGCCCTTCCGAAGTAGGTCGGTGAGTGAACTAGCGATCGATGCGTAACCCTGAATGAAACGACGGTAGTAATTGGCGAATCCGAGAAAGCTCTGCAACTCCTTGACTGAGGTCGGAGCTATCCAGTCCTGTACTGCTGCGATCTTCTTCGGGTCGGTCCTAATGCCACTAGCAGATACGACGTGACCTAGAAACTCGACTTCGGGGAGAAAGAACTCGCACTTCGACTGCTTAGCGTACAACTGCTCCTTCCGCAAGACCTCGAAGACCTTCTGCAAGTGCTGCACGTGCTCCTCTTTCGTCTTGGAGAAGATCAGGATGTCGTCTAGGTATACTACTACGAACGAACCTAGGAACTCGGAGAGGACGGTGTTCATGAGCGTCTGAAACGTCGCTGGGGCGTTGGTCAAACCGAACGGTAGAACCCTAAACTCGTACAACCCCTGCTTCGTACGAAATTCCGTCTTGTCCTGATCCTCCAGAACTACTCAAATCTGGTGATATCCTGAACGAAGGTCGATCTTTGAGAAGACTCTAGCGCCCTGCACTGCATCTAGGAGATCCTCTACTCTCGGCACTGGGAATCTGTTCTTGACGGTGGCGGCGTTCAGTGCGCGGTAATCTATGCACATCCGTAACCCTCCGTCTTTCTTAGGCGCGAAAAGGATCGGTGCTGCCCAAGGAGATCTAGATGGCTGTATGAAACCCTGCGCGAGAAAGTGCCTAACCTGCTGCGTCATCTCCTCTGTCTCCGCTGGACTCAACCTCCACTGCGGCTTCGCTACTGGTCTGCTTCCCGGCTCCAACTCTATCCGATGGTCTACTGCTCGGCTGGGAGGCAACCCTGGGGGCAACTCGTCGGGGAAGACGTCTGCGAACTCTGCTAACAGTGCACTCACCTCAGCAGGAAGAGTCGCCTTCTCACCAACTGCTGCACTCCCTCCTTTCCCCTCCTCAGCTTCCACCTGCTCAAGGAAAACCGCAAAGATCCGCGCCGCACGCTTCGCTAACTGTCGCACACGAACAGCATTAATGATAGCTGTGGAGGATGTGGCCGCATCGCTCCACTGTGGCAGCTCCCGGAACTCGCCATCTACCTTGACGCTGCAGCTTCCCCGAGCCCAATCGAACTGAGTGTTAACCGTCCGTAGCCAATCCCTACCGAAGATGAAGTCGTAACCGTCCAGCGTCGCAGAATCGAAATCACGCCTAACCGTGATTGGTCCTAGCACTACGCGCAACTTGCGAATGACTGGTCCTATGTGAAGTGGCGTCCCATCTACCATGCGAGCGTCCTTGAAGTTGACTGCCGAATCTGCCTCGAGATGGAGACGACTAAC